CGTCTTTGCATCTGGTCTTTTTGATGCGGGTTTATCACCACTTGTATGGTGATCTGGTGACTTCGTTGATGGTGTACTACCTGCGGCAGTATTAATTTAAGTTTCCTGGCGGTCCTCTTAGCATTTTTTTACTTCGTAGGTTGTCTTCGATTTCTGATCAAATTGTTTTGTCTTTTCTCTCTCTTGGTTGTTTCAGGACCATAATCTTATGCCGAATATTGTCGTCTCGTATCGTGCGCTGCTGGCAGAGCTGCTGCAACTTGCGTTCAGAGTTGGTGTCACTTATGCTCCATTCTGCAAGTTTTCTCGGGTGTTTGTTTCACCTCCGGCCTGTTCATGCGCCGTCTGAGCCATCCTGGTCGTTGGCCCAGTTGCTCTCTTTTCTTTCTTCTCCTTGGTTTGTGGTGGTCACTTCGGTTCAGGACTGTTTTTCTAAGGCTCTTCCCTTGTTGGCATAGGTGTCTGGGGGTTGGGTTTGGGAGCTTCATGCTCTCCTCCTGTGCAGGGGTTTCTACTCTTTTGGTCCTGGTGGTAGTTTTGTTCATTTGCAGCTGTCTCCTTCTTTTCTGGCGAAGAATGAGACTGCTGCTTTTTGGAGGGGTCCTTGGGTTGTTGAAGTTGCTAGGTTCGGCCGGCGGGGTGCATCATGTTTTGTGTCTGGTTGTGGCTCTTCACCATTACTTGCGAGCCACGGCCTACATAGCAGGGGACGCGCTTTGGATTGACAAGGTTTCCCATGTTCCCTGTTCCAGAGTGCGGGTCTCCCAGGTCGTCTGCCGGATTATTCTGTCCAGCCAGCCTGTGGTCTATCCCCGTGCCCGTAATGTTCGTAAGTTCGCGGCTTTGGCTGTTGTTTTTGGTAATGTATTCTGGACTGTCATTCGGGCATGGGGATTTTGGAGGTCGAACAGAGTCCTGGCTGCACGGTACCTCATTAATGTTCCAGGCCCTTCTTGGGCTTGTGTAGTCTTGTGTCGCAGATTGCTGCCAGTTGTCTCGACTTCGAGTTGAGGAGCAAATGGTGGCCGCCTCCCAGGTAAGTCTCTCTTTTCCTTTATCTTTGGTTAGGTAGCTCTGGGGAGCCGAAGGGGCTCTCCACAGAAAACTAGCATTGAATATAATGAAACTCCATTATCTGGGTGAGACACAGAGGCTCCCTGGCATCCCTCCCTCCATATAGTTGGCTGTTTTTTCGCATTTTTTATATTCAGCCTCTGAATTGGGGTTTGGTAGCCAGTGTGGGAGGTTTGGGGCTTCTTCCCCTTGCCAGGGAGGAGGGGGGGGGGGAGCTGCACAGACAGCGGTGCACCAATGTCATACTTGTTTGTTTGTTTTCTGATTGGGGAGTTCTACCTGCTCGTTCGGCTTTTGGTTTGCAATTTTTAACCAGCTGTAGTTTGTTTTGGGATTACATCCTTTCTGGGTGCCTGACCTGGTAGATGGCAGACATAGACTGCTTCCAACCACATGGGGGTGTCCTCATGACTCTCTTAGGGGGGCCAGGTTCTTGCTTGTGGTCCCCGGTAGGCCTAGAACTCCATTGATTGATACTTGCCACGGTCTAATATAAACACATCAGCCCAGTATAGCTCTGGAGAGCCTCCTGATCTCACCCAGAAAATGGTGTGTCATTACAGTCAACGCTGGTTTTTTACTTAAATACACTTTATATGATATTTGTAAACAATGAAGAAATAAATACTGTAGTGACATTACAATCTCAGATACTAAATACTCAGATCACAAGCTCATTGAAGTTCAGACTACCACCAGTATTTGTAATAAGTCCAGAAGGATTAAGAAGTAAGAGGTTATTCAATGAACTCTTTGTTTTGACAATAAGACTCTTAACTAGGAAAAGATAAGTATAGAACTTGCAAACATCCACTGGGAAACAGTCTTAAGTAGCAAAACTCCCATGCAAGGAATAGAACAGTTGTCTGCTGAAGCATACAAAATCTGCTTGAAGCATGTTCCTTTGTAGAAGGTTAGAAAGAGGACCACCCAAGAAAGTGAATGCAGATGACTCTCCAAAAGAAGGAAAAATAACAGAAGTTTTTAAGTAAACATGACTATCACAACAAAGAAATCAAAGGAAATCTAATCAGGGATCTCAAAGAAATACAGCAGATTTTGAAGCAATCATGCCAGTATGAAGAAATTAAATTGTAACAGATAACCATAGAAGAGAAAGCGTTTTTAAGTTTAGATTATTTATTATGCACCCCATATCCATCTCGTGGGCGGTAGTGGAAAGGGTTACAGAGGCACATAATGGGCTCAGGGACTGAGCCCAACAATTCATATAGCTATGCAAGTTACAATTTTGATGAGCTAGTTACAAAATTCAATGCACATTGTCACATCAGCAATGGGCTCGAGAATGACCACAAGTACAGTTTCTAATTTAAGCAACTGACGTATGTGGAGAGCTAGTGTACAAAATCTTATTTTTTTCACATATGTGTACATGGAAATAAAATATCTGCATCAGTATTGAACCTATACATGTAAGTAAAAGTTTATACACAGAGGATAAAGAAACTAGTGAAATCCTAAAAGTACAATATGAGGTTATGTTTAGTACCCAAATAAACAACATGAAAGTTGAAGATCTGGACAGCTTCTTTACGAGGAATATCCAGACCCCAGACAATATAACTGATATTAACACAAGCACAGCAGACTTTGAAAGAGAAATTGACAACATGCCCATGTACTCAGCAACTTCTGGAATTCAATATTTATGAAGAAATGTAAAGTACCAGTAGCATAGGTGCTCGGTGTAATATGGAGAAAAAGAGCAGATGCAGGTGAGATACCAGAAGAACTTAAATCAGCAGATATAGCTCCACTACACAAGGGAGGTAGTAAAGCTTTGGATAAAACCTATAGACTAATTGCATTAACATCCCATTACACATAACATAAGATTTTGAAAGAGTGATAAGGAATCAAATCTCCAGTTTTATTGAGAACAATGAACTTCACAACCCAGATCAATGTGGATTTAGAGTGGGAAGATCCTGTCTTTTGCAATTACTTGACCATTATGACAAAATCATGGAAGCATTAGAAGAAAAAATACAAATGTTGTAAATGCAGACTTTGCAAAGGCATTTGAGAAGTATGACCATGGAATGATAGCCCATAAAATGATATCAGTAGAAACAACTGGTAAAGTTGGGCCTTGTATTTAAAATGTTCTGTCAAACAGAATGCAGAGTAACAATCAAATCAAATCCAAGAACAGTGAAAAGCTCTTGCACCACTCTGTTTTCTCATTCTCATATAAGATATAGGCAAAAATACTAGTCACAGCTTTGTGTTATCCTTTGTAGATACAAAAATCAGCATGAAAATTAATTCTGTAGAAGACACTGAAAACTACAAGCTGATATCAATAAAGTCCACGATTGGGCAATGGAAAATTGCACAATGTTTAACAGTGATAAATTGCAGGTACAGTGTACTTAGGTATGGTAGAAATGAAGCACTTAAATGGAATATAGAGTATAAGACACAATTAGACCTACTTATAGAAGGCAAAAATGTATAAAATCTTGGAATTGTAAAGGACTGATATTTAAGAAACATATCCTAGCAAATTTAGCATCAGCCATGAAAATGATAGGATGGATTATGAGAACGTTCAAATCCAGGGATTCCACGACAATACTCGTACTATTTAGATCACTGGTGCTGTTCCACCATGAGTTTTACTCAGTACTCACTTCCCCTTTCAGAGCAGAAGAGATTTCTGAAATAGAGGGAATACAGAGAACATATAGAGCATACATAGACACGATAAAGCATTTGAATTATTGAGACCATCTTAAAGCTCTCAAAATGTACTCTATGGAAAGGAGATGAGAGAGGTATCAAATAATATATACATGGAAAATACTGGAAGGCCAAGCCACAAATTTGTACAGTAAAATAACAACATATTGGAGTGAACAATATGGAAGGAAATACAGACTGGAACCATTGAGGAGTAGGAATGCTAAAGGCACAATCAGAGCACTGTTTGAACATCAGAGGTCCACAACTGTTCAGTACCTTCTCAGCAAGCATAAGAAATATTGCCAAAACAAAGTTGGACTTCTTAAAGGATTAATTAGACAAATTCCTGTAAGAAATGCTGGACTAGCTGGGTTGGAGTGGATATGAGGGTCTGCAGGCCACTCCAAGCAACACCCTGTAGGACCAAGTTATCACAAGTGAAGCCCTGCCCCAGGCCAGGCTTAGGGAGCAGAAAAAATTGAAAAGCCACTCCAGATGAACTCCTGACTCTGTATGGACATTTCTGTAATGTAGTGTTCAACATCAGTCTGAGATGAATCTCTTTCCAATGAGCATCTTTTCTAGGGGTGACATGATAGAGGTCATGTCACCCCCTAGAAAACACCTGGCATTATGCAGGGTCTGCAGGCCACTCCAAGCAACACCCTGTAGGACCAAGTTATCACAAGTGAAGCCCTGCCCCAGGCCAGGCTTAGGGAGCAGAAAAAATTGAAAAGCCACTCCAGATGAACTCCTGACTCTGTATGGACATTTCTGTAATGTAGTGTTCAACATCAGTCTGAGATGAATCTCTTTCCAATGAGCATCTTTTCTAGGGGTGACATGATAGAGGTCATGTCACCCCCTAGAAAACACCTGGCATTATGCTGTCAGCTTTTCTCCTTGTTCCTGGTGTGTCCTAATTGTTAATAAAACTTGCATGCTGCTCTTTGGTGCAAATAAAAATAGATTTGTTAATTCATCTGTCTTGTGTAATTTTGTCATCAATAAAATTCTTAATGCCTGCTGCCTCCTCACACTCCTTTTCAGGGCAGGCATGAACACTTCAAATTAAGCATTTGTACAAAAGTTTAAAATATTGTTACTGTATAAATTATTATTACTATATTTGTAAGACTTAGAGTACAGTACTGTGATCTTATTTTGAATGTGTCACCCACCTCGGCTTTTAATTTTTCAAATTTGTCTTTCAGAAACGTGACCATTATACTTTAACGTTAATATCTCGAAGAAGTCGTTATCGGGCCGGGACCAGATACAAGCGACGTGGTGTTGATGAAGAAGGCCATGTGGCAAATTATGTAGAGACAGAGCAGATTGTGTCGTATTCCCATCACCGGGTTGCCTTTGTTCAGGTTAGTTAACTCTCATATTTGTAAACTTATAAATTTAAAGTACTTGACTGGTTGTCAAAAGTTGTTACTCTGACCAAGTTTTGTTGGTGTTGTTGAGTACCACATTAGGTACTGTTGTTGATGAGTGCCACATTAGATAGACTTATTACAGTTCTTTAGTAAAACTTGAATAGACTGTTACAAAGTTTCAGTCATGTTGATATTCTTGATACGTAGTTTGATTCATACAGGTTTTACCTTGTCCCACAAATGTGTGCCAATATGGTTGACCTTTTCAGTGCAGGTTGTTCAGTGATTCAGTGCAGTTCAGTGTAGGTTGTTCAGTTCAATGACCTTCAGTGTAGGTTCAGTGCTTTTCACCAGTCTCCGTGGTGCAGTGGTAAGACACTCGCCTGGCGTTCCGTGAGCGCTTTGTCATGGGTTCGTATCCTGGCTGGGGAGGATTTACTGGGTGCAAATCCTTAACTGTAGCCTCTGTTTAACTCAACAGTAAAATGAGTACTTGGTTGTAACAACGATTCTTCGCGGCAGGGATCGTATTCCAGGGACCTGCTCGAAATGCTATGCGTACTAGTGGCTGTACAAGAATGTAACAACTCTTGTATATATCTAAAAAAAAAAAAAAAAAAAAAAAAAAAAAAAAAAAAAAAAAAAAAAAAAAAAAAAAAAAAAAAATACTAATATCCTGTTGGCTTTCATTGAGGGTAAACAAAAATTTATGGTGTTTAAATTTTTTTTTTTTTTTTTTTAGATAATCTTAGGTAATCAGGAGAAAGCACTAAGCCATTACTATACAGTGGTACCTCCATTTACGAATTTAATCCATTCCCAGAGACAAGTCGTAACTCAAAACAAATTTTCCCATAGCAAATGATACCTTTATTAATGACTCTTGTTGGCATATGGAAGACGGTGAGGAGGTGGGGGGGAGGAGGGAAGGTGTTAGTGTTTGGAAGGGGCGTCTGCTTCCATTATTACATCAGGCAGTGATGACTTCTCTGGGGTACTCACTCTCCTTCATTTTGCCTGCATACCACTAGGACCTGGTTGTGGCTCACTGCTTGCTTGTCTTACTAAGAATCTGTCTAAAGACACTTGTTTTTCCCTACATTTTAACACTTGTCTGTAGTGAGACATCACATTGTCATTTAAAAGGTCAATGCAACGGCCTGCTACAGCTTTATCTGGGTGAGTTTTTTCAAGAAAATTTTGCAGTTCTTCCCATACTTCACACACTTTCTAAATGAGGAAAGGACATTCTCTACTGCCTCTACTCATGACTATTTTCTTAGGTTGAACCGTGCCATCAACTTTCTTGGGACCCATGGCATGATATATAATAATTACTTTTATGTTAAAAAAAAACAAAAAAAGCACAAAAACAATGAAGTTCTTTACAAAAAATTAAAGTGCGATCATCACTAAGCGGGTGGCTCTGGTAAACTGAGGCGGGGTCGCCCGTGTCACCAGGAAGCACGCGCTCGGTCAACCCATACGTGTATCAACAAAGTCGCAAGTCGAGGGAAAGGTCATAAGTCGAAATCAAATTTTCCGACGAAATTGGGTCGTAACTCGAAAAATTCGTAAGTAGAGGCATTCGTAAGTCGAGGTTCCACAGTATAGCACTTGTCACTTTTAGCAAGAAAAAATATCTGCTTTTCTATACATTCATTAAGAAAATAGAGAGTAGATCTTTCCTCTAAGTTAACTGAATGTTGTTGTGCATTTATATTCAAAGCAAACATGCTTGGCCCTTTTGATTGCATGTGGATGCTTTGTGCTTTTCTAGAGGCTGTGCTTAGGTTTGAAGGAGAGTATTCTTATCTGGCAGTTTTTTTATGCCAGGATGCTACATCTGGTATGGAAGGTCACTGTTTTGTAGTGAAGGCTCTGCTGCCTGTCATGATGGCTTCCCTTGTGTTACCTGATTAATTTACATTTTTTGTATGCCTTTCTGCCTTTACTTTTTTATTCCTCTATATCCTTTTTTGATGTCCTGACTAACATACACACTATGGTATTTTCCTTAGTCTTTCATTTTCATTTTCCAGGTTAATACTATGTGTATTTCACTGGAGCACTGCTCTGAAAGGTCACCTTCACTAGTCAGTGGTGTCCTTTCTGAAACCTATCTATACAGCAATCAAATTCTTTTTAACTGGCTGTCTTTCTCTCCTAAAGTTTGGTTGAAACATTTGGTAAGCTCTTCACATATGCCTCGTGTCATATTTGTCTTGTGTCTGTGGCACATTGTAAAATGATAGTGGCTTTCTCCCTCTCCAACTCCTGCCTAGTATATTTCTCAACCTGCATGGTCATTGCAGGTTTCTACAATGTGCCTTACCATTGAGCATTTAGCTACCTCTTTGAAGGTGTTCTGTCTGGTCCTGTTCCCCACTCATCTGCCATCATATCTACATTTTTTGCCTTTCCTCAATGTCTTTTGCTATTTAATTCATAATTCATTGTGGACAGGCAGCCAGAGTATATACTATATATAGGCTTATATTGAGGTCCCCCCCCCCTCCAAGGTCGAATTATTGACCTCCCACAGAATACAGCCCCACTACAAGCTGACTAACTCCTGGGTACCTATTTACTGCTAGGTGAACAGGTACATTAGGTGATTGCAAACACACCCAACCATTTCTGTCCCATCCAGGATACGAACCCGGAATTCTTGGTTGTGAGTCGAGAACGAACCTCCACTGTACTACCCGGGACCCTCTTTAACCTCTTTATTTCTTTAGCCATCTTCTCTTCCTTGTCTGTCTTTAGGCTGTTATGTAACCCATGGACATTTTCCTTTCTTCTAGGGTTCTTTAATCACACATCTAATATTTCATTTTCATGTGTAATTAGAATTTTTTTTTTTAAGTCCTCTTGATCTTCTCCATCTGCACACTCTTCTTGGTTTTCCTGTGTTCCCTGAATAGTCCTCCTCGGTGAAGCCATCTCTTGTCCTCGGCCTTTTTATCACCAAACTTTATTCTCTCCCAATTCTCGCTCATTTTATCTTGGTCCTTTTTTTAGCTCATCTGTATACTCTTATGTTCAGCTAAGGTGTTTTCGTTCTTCCGTTCCTTCTCTCTCTCTCATACGGACCTGTGTTGGTAGTAAAGTTTCATGTAACGTTGACCAGACCACACACTAGAAGGTGAAAGGACGACGACGTTTCGGTACGTCCTGGACCATTCTCAAGTCGATTGTCGACTTGAGAATGGTCCAGGACGGACCGGAACGTCGTCGTCCTTTCACCTTCTAGTTTGTGTGGTCTGGTCAACATACTTTAGCCACGTTATTGTGACTCATCGCCTTCATGTAACCTTGTTTACATATGTATGACATTCCTTGTCCTGGTTGTACAATGTGTCATGTAATGTAATATGTAGAATGGAGACCATGATTGGCAATACATATGGATAGACAATATGTGGGAAAAAATGTGTATGGCTGGCAAAATCATTAAAGAGGAGCAGTGTTACATAAAAAAAAAGTAGGAAGGTCAAGAGAGTCACAGTTAGGTGATCCAAGAGTGTCACATGTAAACTACATTTCCAAGGCCATCATAAAATGTTCAAACTGATAAAATAGGAGTCATTCACTTAGAGAAAATAATAAATATGACTTTGAAGAAAGGTTGAATAGTAGGATGTTACTCTTAAATACAGTGTAGTGCTGTATTCAGGTTTTAATTACAGTATATTTGTTGGTAAATTATATATTCAAAATTATTTATATATAATTCTTAACCTAAATTTGATTAAGATACTATAAAAATTATCTAGATATTATTGTAACCAATTAAATGTATTCTTTCAGGTACGTGGCTCTGTGCCAGTTTATTGGAGTCAGCCAGGATACAAATATCGTCCACCTCCGAGACTGGACAGAGGTGAGCGAGTGTTATATTCTTTGTTAATTTATTATAATGGGTCCAGAGATGATGTTCATAGATAGTCTTCAAATGCTGAAGAATGTATGTCTCATACTACCAAGAAACATAATTAGCAGATTTGTACACTGCTAATTTGCATCTCACTGACCTCAGATGTTATTTATATGTTGGAAGAGGTTGTGACAGTGAATATTTGCTTGGGGATGGTTGTGGAGTGGATTCAATGTCTGGTTGTTGTGGGGGGGGGGTATGGTGGTGGATTATTATTATTACTTTAGTGTAGTGGTTACCATCTCTAGCTGCTCTTGTTGAGGCACAATGGTGCAGTGGAAATATTTTATGAATTGGTTGTCTTTCCTGTATATGACTTTAGTCACAACTCTTGCCTGCACTTTCATGCTCTTGGCTCTCATAAATTAAAATAATTACATATATTTTGGTAAATATTTAAATGCATCCTCCAGAAATTATAGTATCAAAGTGACTGTAATATATTCATAAAATTTAACTAACACGAAAAAAAACTTAGATGTTTTAGTATTGATATACTAAAGAGCATTACAAAGACTGTAACATAAGAACATAAGAACATAAGAACATAAGAATAAAAGTAACTGCAGAAGGCCTGTTGGCCCACATGAGGCAGCTCCTATCTATAACCAGCCAATCCCACTCATATACATGTCCAACCCACGTTTGAAACAATCGAGGGACCCCACCTCCACCACGTTACGCGGCAATTGGTTCCACAAATCAACAACCCTGTTACCGAACCAGTATTTACCCAGGTCTTTCCTAAATCTTAACTTATCCAATTTATACCCATTGTTTCATGTTCTGTCTTGTGTTGATACTTTTAATACCCTATTAATATCCCCTTTCTTATGCCCGTTCATCTACTTGTACATCTCTTATCATATTACCCCTAATTCTTTGCCTTCCTAGAGAATGTAATTTAAGCTCTGTCAATCTTTCTTGATCATTCATGACAGGTTTCTAATTTGGGGGATTAACTTTGTTATTCTATGCTGGACGCTTTCTAGTGAATTTATATCCATTCTGTAGTACGGTGACCAAAACTGAACTGCATAATCTAAATGGGGCCTAACCAGAGCAATATATAGCTGAAGAACACCACCAGGCATTTTATTAGTAACGCTCCGATTAATAAATCTCGGTGTCCTATTTGCCTTATTTCGAACATTTGTGCATTGATTTTTTGGTTTTAAATTCTTACTAATCATAACCCCCAGATCCCTTTCGCAGTCTTACTTCGCAATTGCAACACCATCTAGCTTGTATCTTGTAACTATCATCATTACCTAGCCTCAAAACCTTACACTTGTCAGCATTAAACTGCATCTGCCAATCTTTTGACTATTTCAAAACCCTATTTAGATCAACATGAAGTGATAGTCTTTTTCTGTGTTTATTTCCCTCCCGATTTTTGTATCATCGGCAAATTTACAAATATTGCTTCTCAAACCTGAATCTAAATAATTTATATATATATACTGTATTATGAATAACAGAGGTCCCAGGACAGAGCCTTGAGGCACTCCACTTACAACATTTTCCCACTCTGACTTAACCTCATTTATACTAACTCTTTGTTTCCTTTGGTATAGCCATGCCCTAATCCAACTTAAAATAGCACCCCCAATACTGTGAGCCTGTATCTTTTTAATCAGTCTTTCATGTGGCACTCTATCAAAAGCTTTGCTAAAGTCAAGGTACACAACATTACAAACCTTACCACTATCAACTGCCTCAATTATGCTGGAATATAAAGAAAAAAGATAGCAAATTTGTTAAATTTGAACGACTATTTGTAAAACCATGTTGTGAATCATTTATTAATTTATGTTTTTCAAGATGAAGACGAATGGTATTTGCAGTTATCAATTCAAGTAACTTTCCCACAATAGACGTTAAGCTAATTGGCCGATAGTTTGGCGCAAGTGATGTATCTCCTTACTTATAAATTGGTACCACATTGACGACCTTCTACGACTCTGGCACTCTGCCTGACTCTAATGATTTATTAAATATGGTAGACAACGGCTCGCAAAGCTCCTCTTTGCTTTCTTCATGCACCCTGACAAACACTTCATCCAGCCCTGGGGATTTGTTTGGCTTGAGTATTATCACAACATGCTGTTGTGAATTCATTGTGCTTTACTTAAATAGATTTATCATGCTGTACTGATTTCATTATGTATTATTTGAATATATATGGTGATTTTATTGTTGTTCTTTCATAAATTTCAGATGCATCCGAGACTGCTGTAGCATTTCGCAAACACTTTGAGATGGAGGTGTCTCGATACAGCCACGTGTCTTGTGTAAGTCTGGTGGAACAAACAGGGAAGGAGAAAGTGATTGCTGATGCTTTCATGAACAATATTCTTCAACTGGACCACACTGACCTCACTTTTATAACCTTTGACTTCCATGAATACTGGTAAGGACTTGGTCTTCCATTGTGCCAAATACTAAAAGGACTGTGGAAATGGTTGAAGTAAAATTAGTGTGTAAATCCAATTGAATTACTGTATGCCCTTTCTTCCGTTCAATATGAATTTATTTTTCATAATCTTTTTAAAAAAAACAAGCAATAGGTGATATTTTTACTGTATGATATAACTGTATTAATATTATAATGATTTTTTTTTAAGACTTGCTTAGTGATTATCTGAAAGCCAGTACACAACATATTTCTTTTTTTTATTCCAACTATTTATTTGTTGAAGCATTTTCATAAAATTTTACTAAAAATATTTGAATTTCTCTTCATGATGTTTCTTGGTAACTATCCTGGTGTATAACTGTGGGAGTGAAGGTGAAAAATATGGTGAAAAATTATAAACAGTATAATGAAAAAATTACTTGTTCATTTGCTTTGTGTGTGTGCTGTATGTTCAAATACTAGAACTAAGCTTTATAGTAAGCAAATGATTAGCTATTATTTCATAGCCAGAAATGAAACTCGAAGAGAGAATCCTAAGTGAGGTCATAGTTTTGAGGCAATATTGAATATGAAAGTGAGATGAAAAGAAATTCAAGTTGGAGGCAGTGCAGTGCTTGTACTTACTTACCTAATTTACCTAATTGTGCTTGCGGGGGTTGAGCTCTGGCTCTTTGGTCCCGCCTCTCAACCCCCAACCCCCAACCTCAACTCCTAACCCAACTCCCTCTCAACAACTTTCACTCAACTCGAGTGAAAGATCATTCATGCTATAAATAAATGATGGTCAATCATCCATGAGGTGTGGATATTGTTGCAATGAAATCTGAATCTAGAAATTAATGAATAATCACAAATACCTGTAGCCTACTGGCAAGTAGCAGTTGGTAGAGGAAGGGGACTCGACAGAAACTCTGAAGGGGCTCATCATAAAGACAGTGAAGGAGATAATACCAAAAGTAGAGCAAGATAAAACCTGACTGTTGATTTTGGTTGACTTTGGTCAAAAATCTATAGAGTTGGGTGAATACGGGGCAAAAATGGGAAATTAGGGTATTCAACTTGTATATCTCAATCTGGAGGCATTTATATATATTGGAAAGAAGGCCATAGCAGGCCATAAGAATAAAAGGAAAAGGATGCCCTCATCATTATTGGGTCTTGTACTCACTAGAAAAGAGGAAGAAATTGGTTGGTTGTGTAATTGCCTCAAGACTAGTAGAGATGTGTTGCTACTAATATTTTAACTGATACTGACATCAATACCAGTATTGTCCTACCAACTATAAAAAGACTGATACATGGGTATGCCTCTTGACTAATCACCTACATGATAACTGTGTGACTTCCCTTCAGGGCTGTATCCCTGACTTGTTGGCCACTAAATAATGTCTTGACTCCTGCTATTATAATACCTTGGCTGAAGAGTGTACCATTGTGCTCACATATATTCCCATGCACAGTGTAGGTTCTCTTTATCTTTTGATTTTCACTATAAATTGAAATTTGTCATGCTAAGAAAAAGGATACATTGGTGTTGATATAACTCTTTGTTTTCCATCGAAGTTTATGGCAGAGAAGTTTCAAAATATATGTATGCTACACCTCCAAGAAGAAAAATGAAAGTGTCTTGGTTTTTATGCTATTTAATACAATGGTTGAACTTGTAGGAAATACAGTACATGGTATATCAACACTTGTATAGAAATGATGAATTAAAGAAGAATAAAGAAGAAAATATTAATTATTTAAAGAAGATAATATCTCCTTTGTTTAAGGATTGGTTTTGCAATAATAATTTATGTAATGAATAAATAAATGATGGCATAATGAATGAGCTAGATCTAGCAATTTTCTCAGGTAAAGTTTGCTTTTAACAACAGATTCAAATGTGAAATCTCTCTTCAATAGAGCTGTATTTAAGTACATTGTTTGAACATTGTGAAAATAATTCCTTAAATAATTTTTTTTATTAATATAATGGTAATTTTTCAGCCGTGGGATGAGGTATGAAAATGTTTCAATATTGATTGAAAGCATAGAAGACCTAATAGGAAAAATGCTTTACTGTTGGGTTGACAAGGAAGGTACAATTTGCCGGCAGAATGGGGTCTTCAGAATCAACTGTATTGATTGTCTTGATCGCACAAATGTTGTCCAGGTACAGTATTAAGCAAGCATTTTCCCTTTCTTGTCATTCTTAATTTTCGAGCTAGTTGCATTTCACTTTTTCCTAAGCTCACATCTGTGTGTTCTCTGGACAAGGATCATGGGAAGTTGGCCAGTGAGACTCTTGGTATACTCACCACAGAGAATTTGTCATGCACTTTTAGTTAGGGGGGGGGGGGTCTCTGGAGATAAGGTCAATTCAATTGATATGTACAACAGCTTGCGTTTATCAGGTCTCTGTCACTGATATTCCAACAATATCGTATGTACATGCATTTCTCACATATAAAGTCTTTCTGGTTTTACGGCTTGTTTTTGAGCAGTATTCTTGCATAAAATGTGTACAGGACCTTCCTATAATCTTGCCAAATTTCAGAAATTTCGGTGAAATTCATTTACTATTTTTGTTATATTTCTGCTTTTCTAAAACTATGCATATTTAGATTTAACTTCAGAATTATGTTTTCCAGACTGCCATTGCTAAATCGGTATTAGAAGGACAATTTGTCAAGCTTGGCATGATTCCACCGGAACATGCACTACCGCCTGCATGCCGGTCCACCCTACAGACAATGTGGGCCAATAATGGTGACACGATCAGCAAACAGTATGCAGGAACATCAGCCCTTAAGGTAAAAATTTTTATTATAGGTCAGTGTTCAATGTTTTGATAATAATGTGACAGATGTTAATAACTCAAGTTACAAGTTCTTAATCTTGAGTTGTATAGTTCAGAAAGTTTAAATCATACCTACAGTACATGGTTTATTTGGAGCAATCACTTTTGGTCATTCTCTAAAGCAATTTTACCTTTTATTCTTGGACAGAAATGTGCACAGTTAGGTAGGGTTGGCATACATCATAGTGTCATGGAATTTTCAAATATCCCCACTTGTAGATGTGTTAGAGAATGAAGAATTATTGATCTAGCTTTGAATGACTGTTGGAGGGCATTCCATAAAGTTCAAAGCCCCTTTGAGCCATTCCTGGCATCATAAACTGACCTTTAACTTGGGCTATCGGTATCCTCCAGTTGGGCCACCTGGTTCTCTCTGCCGCCTGCCACTAGGTTGCAGCATCACAATTGTCACTGGGATTAGTGACTCAAGCCAGTTAACATATTACCTGACTGTTGGTCATGCTTTGGTGTCAACAAGACACCTGCTGCTAGTTAGGCGACCTTGTAAATGTACAGTGGTTCATATTGATTTTGTTTGTTAGTTTTAGTGTGTGAACATGTATTCAGTATATGGTATGTGTATATGTACATACGTATAATGTATGGTTCAGTGCAAGTTTGCACAATATGACTTTGTTCTCATTACACTTCATTCACAGCCTCTGGGGGTTTATGTAGAGTTTAGGGTCACAGATGCTATGCACAGGATGCAGATTGCAGTTACTTCACCAGTGTGCAGGGGCACAGGGGACTCAGCAGGTCACACCTTGTCACGTGGCATGACAGACGTAGGTAAGGAATTGCCGAGTGTGTACTCTTGGCACCTAGGCTCAGAAGTAGATGTCCCCATGTGGTGGTGGTTGGGGCCCCGATTGGTGCCTCATCACCAGGCTGTGTACCTTGGGCAAATCACCCTTAATGTCACTACTAGTTTCCAGTACCAGAGCACCCTGGTTGTGTGCTCTGGTACCCTTAGAGTGTTCCTTGACACAGGCTGTTAGAACTGGCACCGAGCTATTTACCCCTGACCCAAGATTGTGTGCCATGGTATTCTTGGGTGGTATGCAGTGTATGTCCAGGTCCTTCAGGTGCTTTACTTTCGGCCTCTGGGCTGTACTGTGTCTTTTGACCAGGTTTCATTATATTTGGTGCTTGATTTTCTGTCTTTTTGCAATATATACCAACAATATATTACAATGTATTACATGCAGTATATATTTTATAGAAAAATGCCAAATGAAGATTAAATTAATATATAGATAAAATTTTGCTGTAAGAGCTTTAATTATATTTAGCTGAGATGCATAGCGCCAACACCTACAATGGTAGTGAGATGAAAGTTGGGTAAGGCCTTTAATGCAGGTTATTTAGTAATTTATAATTTTCTAGTAACAATTTATCAACTAGTAATTCCTTAATGGGCCAGCCAGAGGTTTGGGCCCGTGCAGGAATATCCCAGAAAAAAAATAGTAATTATTTAGTAACAAGTGGTAATGCATAATGAAAATTCTTTTATTTTGCTTGGTGGTGTGTTTGGTGGCTACATGTTATTTACACTTTCTTCTAATGTTGTAACAATTTAGTCGTGGTTGCTCAGGCAGGTACAGTACTGTATATAAAAATGACATCTGCAAGAAATACTTTTGAGAGTACAGTACAAAGGAGCACTCAGATGTATTGTACTGTAATTCTTGTAAAAATTTCATGTTACCTGTTATATCAAAATTATTTTTTTTATTAGAATACCAGGCATGCTTAAGTTGTGATTTAAACTGTTTAGTGAAATATTGCATTAATTTGGCATTCTGATTTTTTTAGGGGGATTTTACAAGAACTGGAGAGAGAAGATTTGCTGGAATGATGAAAGATGGGATGAACTCTGCCAACAGGTGAGCTCCAAGATGGTTACTTGCACATCCATTTATTCTTAATGAACTTGTTTTCAAATTATCAACATTTATTTTTTATCGAATGTAAATGCTTAGTATTTTAGTATTCATAGAGGTGTTAATGTAGGCTTCTAGTAGCTTTACAGTTTTGCAAAACACAGCTTTATTTTCTCAATTTCTCCAATTCTACTACATTCTTTCTTTTTATATCTTTACCTTAGTGGCTTTTTGTCCTCTACGTCTCTGCATGTAGTACAGTTCTTCTCATTATGAAGAAGTAGAAGCTGTCATTAGCATGATAGGCAAACCAACTTGTAATATTCTTCAGCATAGGTATATATTTTAAATCAAATAAATCCAATACATAATGGTGATTAATGTCTGATAAAAGATTCCGCATGAACCACCTGTCCAAGTGTGGGCCCCGGAGCTGAGGCAAATACTGTCTTTCATGGAGAGGCGCTTGTAAAGCTGGACCCTTAATCTTAATGTCAGGATACATATTTTTCGTCAGCTCAAGTATTGTCTCTCTGACTAAGAATTGTTGGGCATCAAGACACGTTGATGGGGATTTACTGAATATGTAGAAGCTGCTGCCAGCACTGTTCACCATCCATAATATGTGAGCATCATAACCTGGCCAGGACACATATTATACCAGTAGCACTGAGGCAGTATAACCTGGCCAAATTTTAAGCTCTTCATAAAATAATTTACTGTATATCACAGAGTTTAGGAGCACATTCTTCTGCCAATTCAAGGACATTTGATATAGACGTTGTAATGAGCTGAGGCTTCACCACCTCATTGTCTTTGCTCAGCTAATGAATCACTCTAGTGTATGTGATTCATTATATTAGAGGCTTTAGATCCTCCTCTGTCAGTTTTTCGGTTTGCAACTGGATGACTCCTTTCAGTGTGTTTGGCTTTGACAAGGTCAAGTTATCCTTCTCAACATCTTGGGCAGCAAATAGTTGTGCCCCTGATCAGTAATTTATTATTATTATTATTATTATTATTATTATTATTATTATTATTATTATTATTATTCTGCTGCTGGTATAAGCTGCTGGTTTTTCTGCTGCTGTAAGTGGCTGTTGCAATTGACTGTTGCTGCTGCAAGTTGCTGTTGCAATTGACTGTTGCTGCTGCAAGTTGCTGTTGCTGCTGCTACTACTACTGCTGCTATCGGCTGGTTGCTACTGCTGCTACCGCTGCAATTAGCTGTTGTTACTGCTGCTACCGCTGCAAGCAGCTGTTGCTACTGTTCCAAGCAGCTATTTCTACAGCTGCAAGCAGCTGTTGCTGCAAGCAACTGTTGCTGCTATGAGTGCTGCAAGCAACTGTTGCTGCTACTGTTGCTGCTATGAGTGCTGCAAGCAGCTGTTGCTGCTACTGTTGCTGCTATGAGTGCTGCAAGCAGCTGTTGCTGCTACTGCTGCAAGCAGCTGCTACTGCTGCAGCAAGCAGCTGTTGCTGCTACTGCTGCAAGCAGCTGCTACTGCTGCAGCAAGCAGCTGTTGCTGCTACTACTGCAAGCAGCTGTTGCTGCTACTATTGCTGCAAGCAGCTGTTGCTTCTGATGTTGCTGCAAGCACCTGTTGCTGCTACTGCTGCTGCTACTACTGCAAGCAGCTGTTGCTGCTACTACTGCTGCAAGCAGCTGCAGTCGCTACTACTGCTGCTGCTACTACTGCAAGCAGCTGTTGCTGCTACTACTGCTGCAAGCAGCTGCAGTCGCTACTACTGCTGCAAGCAGCTGTTGCTTCTGATGTTGCTGCAAGCAGCTGCTGTTGCTGCTACTGCTGCTGCAAGTAGCTGTTGCTGCTACTACTGCTGCAAGTAGCTGTTGCTGCTACTACTGCAAGAAGCTGTTGCTGCTACTACTGCTGCAAGCAGCTGCAGTCGCTACTACTGCTGCAAGCAGCTGCAGTCGCTACTACTGCTGCAAGCAGCTGTTGCTGCTACTGCTGCAAGCAGCTGTTGCTGCTACTGCTGCAAGCAGCTGTTGCTGCTACTACTGCTGCAAGCAGCTGTTGCTGCTACTACTGCTGCAAGCAGCTGTTGCTGCTACTACTGCTGCAAGCAGCTGTTGCTGCTACTACTGCTGCAAGCAGCTGTTGCTGCTACTACTGCTGCAAGCAGCTGTTGCTGCTACTACTGCGGCAAGCAACTGTTGTTGCTGCTACTACAGTTGTTGTTGCTGCTGCTGCTGCAGTTGTTGTTGCTGCTGCTACTGCAGTTGTTGTTGCTGCTGCTGCTACTGCAGTTGTTGTTGCTGTTGTTGTTCATCCTCCTCCTCCTCTTTGTCATTTTAAAGGAAGAAAACACACTTAGCTTTTAAAGATTATAATTGTGTAATAGAGGCACAAATACTCTCAGAATGAGCTCTGTTCCTGATACTGTATAACTGGAATTGTTTATTATTATTACTGTATTATTATTATTATTATTATTATTATTATTATTATTATTATTATTATTATTATTATTATTATTGTATTGGTTTAAAGATTTTGCTAAAGTAATCATTGTGCAACACTCAATTCTCTGCCATTTTTTTGTAATAATAATGGCTACAGTCAACCAAGTACTTTGTCAGTAAACATTTGTGTGATATGCATTAGTTTTGTATTAGATTGTGGAACTATGAAGGTAGACCTCTCAGTGACAGCATGTGTAATTTTCCTCTTATGAAGTAGAGTAGTTTAAATGACCCATTATTACAAGACTTGTCTGAGGCTTATAGTTTTGATGTATGAAACACTTTACTTGTATTGATGGTTTTGAGTTTAGTACTGTAGTAGTATTTCTGGTTCCTTCAAAATTTGACCTCGTATTGTTTTTGTCAAGTGGAGCTGAAGAAATGTGCATGGAATATTTTTTTAAACCATACCAGAGGAACATGTATATATTCAGTTATTGTTAAATGATTTGTGCAGTAATTACATATAAGTTTTTTTATTCTTATCATTGTAACTTAATATGAGAATTAAACTCATGTATATTTAATAATCAGAGTTCCATACAATACAAATTGACAAGTGTCTTGTGTATCAAGGGCTGATCTTTAATAGTAGAATATGTAAAGCAATTCAGATAATGAAGTTTTTATGAAATTTGCCAGCAGATATTTTTAAATGCATGGGAAATGGCACTTTGAATTATTAGGGACTCTGTCTAAATGAACAGGAAATTTTGTACACTTACTATTCACGACATTTACACACAATCCTGTCATCAGAATTTTTTTAATCATTTGTGTGGTGACATGAAAGTAGGCTTGACAGCTGTATATATTTCTGTTACAGATACTATAAGAATCACTTCTTAGACACTTACCGCCAAGTAGCCATTGATGTTATGCTCGGGTTGGAACTCACAGACAGTCAGTGGCAAGAGATAGACTTTGTCGAGACTTTGCTCAATGTTGCAAGTGCCTTAATGCCTATTGGTCCGCCAAGTTACATGTCAGAGATCGCCCCTAGCAACGAGAAATACCTTGCGAGCGCCCTCTATTCTTTGTCCAGGTTAGGGGCATTGCTATATGACAAGGGTTGTGTGCATTTTGGTACCTGAAGCCTACACTTGTGCCTGTTTACATTATATCCAAGACTAACCCCCTATCAATAATAATTTACCTTTGTATTGTTATTTTCTTATTCTCTGGATTTTTCATTTGTGCTAATCTTTAACACAATAGTACTCTACTGTACTGTACTGTACTTAACTAAATGTTTTGAGATCTACAAAGTTGACGATAAAAAATGTCACTACCCTCTGGCCTATCATCAGCCTCCTGCTCTTCTTTCATGGAACAGTTTTATAGCATAGCCTCATTTTAAAGATTACAATTATTAATGCACATACTGATAGCAGAGTGAAGAAGATGGCACGCTTCCGTGGTACTGTTTTGTCCCCGTAGGGATGTTTTGTTTACATTTATAAACTTGAATTAATGAATTGGTATCTATTTTGTAGTTTCCTTGAATTTGTGGTAGTTTGTATCGTATCATTGAGAAATATAGTTCTAATTAACTATAATTAAATTGGATTCTTTCAATACTTCTTTGTATCTGTTATGGTTATGTAACTCTTCACTAATATTAAAGAGAGAATCTGCATGTTCTAAATCAGTTTGTATATTATTGTTAGTCTAATGATTTAGTTTTTAAACATTTGCAGTTATGCAAATGGTTAATGGATTATATTCCTGAGTGCTAATTGATGATCAGAGACCTGGTAAAATAGAGCAATGTTTTCTGGTACATGAGACAAGATATTCAAAGCTGTGGTGTACTAGACCTGTCAGATCACAAATTGTCTCTTGGTCCTTTATCAGGTAGAGACATGGTTCTTGAGTTCTTGAAGTCTTTGTTATGAATCACTGGTAGGGATGCAGTATTTTATGTTTTTTTTTTTCCAAGATTTTACATTTGGTTTCCCATAAGTACTATCCGGTATCTCTTAACAAGGCTCATGAAGGCAGGAGACATTCTAGGTGCTGGCACCATGGGGAACATTTAAGTGGTTCTGTAAGGTCATTAAAAGTGCTAGGGGGGCATCAGCAGAGATAAGCTATATCAAACCTGGAATGACTGACAGAGGTACATTCCACAAAACTGAAAAAAATGTGTAAGAGTTCTATCTTCCAAACCCAGACTATGCATCAGAACAGGACCCATATAGCTTAGTGCTTGGGTCTGCTGTTGCTGCCTGGCTGTAATACTGAGCCGCTCATTCTTTGTGACTGGCAGACAAACTATGTTTTTCTTGGAATATGGCATCTCTGGTGTTGCTCACAGGCATTTGAGTTTAAGAATGTTTCCCCTGTGTTTAGTGTTAAGCTTTATTGAGAACACTTGTACTATCTGAACTGGTTCTTTTTGTGCCCATTCTGCCTCTAAGCAGTGTCTATGCAGGTCCATTTGTAGGTTTCCTGACAACTGCACCTCATTGCAGCAAATTTAAGGACTTGTACTGCCTGACTGATAGACTATTAAAATTGTACCTTGCCAGGTTCTATCTTCCTCCCTTTTGCCAGTTAATTTTACCTTTTGAAGAATTTTGATTTTGAAGAAGCCATAAACAGTATGCCTATGCACTCTGCACCAGGCCCTGATTCTTAGAACTCCATATTCATCAAGAATTATAAAAAAAACACTATTGCAGGCCCTTCACATTCTTTGGAGACAAAGCCTAGACACTGGCATTATCCCAGACATACTAAAAACAGCAGAGATAGCACCACTCCATAAAGGAGGAAATAAGGCAGAGGCAAAAAATTATAGACCGATAGTACTAACATCGCACATCATAAAAATCTTTAAGAGAGTGCTAAGAAGTAAGATCACAAAATACATGGAATCACAGCATCTCCATAACCCTGGACAACATGGTTTCAGAACAGGGCACTCTTGCCTGTCACAGTTGCTGGACCACTATGACATGGCATTAGATGCCATAGAAGAAAAACAAAACACTGATGTAATTTACACAGATTTCGCAAAAGCCTTTGCCAAATGTGACCATGGCAAAGGCTTTCAAAATGCTTTCAAAATGTAAAATGCTTTCAAAAGGAATTACCGGAAAAATAGGCAGATGGGTCTACAATTTCCTGACTAATAGAACCCAATGTGTAATAGTCAACAAAATAAAATCCAGTCCATCAACCGTGAAGAGCTAAGTTCCCCAAGGTACTGTGCTTGCTCCAGTACTTTTTCTCATCCTCATATCGGACATAGACAAGGACACAATCTATAGCACTGTATCATCCTTTGCAGATGACACTAGGATTTTCATGAGAGTAGACAACATAGAGGACACAGCAAACCTACAATCAGATGTAAATCAGGTCTTTCTATAGGCTACAGAAAATAATATGGTGTTTAACGAAAATAAGTTCCAGCTCATGCGCTATGGAAAAAATGTAAATATAAAAACGGAAACCACATACTAAACTCGGTCAAATCATAACAGAACGAAAAGGCAGTGTAAAGGATTTGGGTGTACTCATGTCGGAAGACCTTACCTTTAAAGAACACAATAAAGTAGCTGTCACAACGGCAAGAAAAATGACGGGTTGAATAACAAGAACTTTTCACACTAGAGATGCTATACCGATGATGATACTTTTCAAAACGCTAGTGCTCTCTGGAGTGGAGTACTGCTGCACACTGACGGCCTCTTTCAAAACTGAAGAAATTGGTGACCTGGAGAGCGTGCAGAGATCCTTTACTGCTAGAATCCACTCAGTAAAACATCTAAACTACTGGGACCGACTAAAGAGCCTAAATCTGTATTCCCTTGAGCACAGGCGGGAGAGATACATAATAATTTACATGTGGAAAATAGTAGAGGGACTGGTCTCAAACCTGCACACAGAAATAACATCACATGAGACCAGAAGGCATGGCAGGATGTGCAGAATACTGTTGAAAAGCAGAGGTGTAATAGGTACTCTGAGAGAGAACTCGATCAACATCAGAGACCCGAGACTGTTCAACACGCTTCCACTACACATAAGGGACATAACTGGCCAACCCCTCACAGTGTTCAAGAGAGAACTGGATAAGCACCTCCAAAGGATACCTGATCAACCAGGCTGTGATTTGTACATCAGGCTGCAAGCAGCCACATCTTGGTATCTTGAGATGATTTCGGGGATTTTAGTGTCCCCGCGGCCCGGTCCTCGACCAGGCCTCCACCCCCAGGAAGCAGCCCGTGACAGCTGACTAACACCCAGGTACCTATTTTACTGCTAGGTAACAGGGGCATAGGGTGAAAGAAACTCTGCCCATTGTTTCTCGCCGGCGCCCGGGATCGAACCCGGGACCACAGGATCACAAGTCCAGCGTGCTGTCCGCTCGGCCGACAGCCAGGTTGGATGTGGCTGCTCGACCAGGCCTCCTCCAGCAACGAGGAGGCCTGGTCGACGACCGGGCCGCGGAGACGCTAAGCCCCGGAAACACCTCAAGGTAACCTCAACGTAAGGTACCTCATGAAATTAAACTTTCAAATCTTATTTCTCTACTGGTGTTGCATTGGCTGGGAATTTTCTAAGGTTGCTTGCAGCCCTCCTTTGTGATGTAGTTGAAGATTTCTTTGTCCATTTATCTGGCCTGCAAGAGAATAGTGTTGGGTTACTTTCAAGCAGTTGCTTGGACTAGAATATTATTAGTGTACATTTTTCCCCATTGTCAGCACTACTTAATATACCTGGAAAGGGTTTCGGGAGTTCTTCTATTTCCCGAGCCCTGTCTGAGGCCTGGCTTGACTTGTGATAATTTGGGTATCACAAGTCTTAGCCTAGTTTAACTGAGTATTCAGGTTTTCTGTGAGGTTTACCGTGTTCTCTTTCGTCAGGAGGGGTAATGACTCATGGTTGGTCTCTATGACATTATGTTTAAGGTAGAGGATATGCTGTCATACCATATGATATGCATAATATACCATATGATATGGTATGTTATGCATTTTCTTCCCTGTCTGAAGGCAAATAGTCTCTGGTCATTCTCAGGTGTTTTCACAGTGCTTGGGTGCAGGGTTCTGGGACCCAAACAACATTGTCGATGGGTCTTGCGTGGGATTGGTCTCCCCCTTCCCTTCCCTTCCCTTCCCTTCCCTTCCCTTCCCTTCCCTTCCCTTCCCTTCCCTTCCCTTCCCTTCCCTTCCCTTCCCTTCCCTTCCCTTCCCTTCCCTTTCAAAAAGTCTGTCTTAGTTGCCATTCTGTGTGCATATTCAGGTAATCATGAACAAGTGAATGATTTAAATGACACATTCTTGTCAGGTATAAATTTCTTTGGCTAATAAGTGTTCCACTTTCAATACTTTCATTTCTCTTCCAGCATTCCATATTACTTCATTGTGGCCCATGTGTTTTCACCCTCCAATCCCTTTGTTCTTGGCTAGTAGCCCTTGATTTCTATGAGGCGTGTTGTTGAGAAATGTCAATGTTGAAAACCTATTTCATGCAAATGTTGTTGAAAATGGCAGTAATAAATCAGTGACATGATTAGAGGTGGATGGATACTTTTCTGGGGGGAGCCCGTATGGCTCCCTGAAGCTAACGGACTGATACCCATTATATTAATCAAGAGCATCAGTTAATTGGAGTTCTGAGCCTACTGGATAGCACGAGCTAGAACCTGGTTCCCTCAGAGAGGCGAAGGGAGCAATAGCTTATGAACACTCCACATTGTGAGAGTATGAGATCCACATTGTGAGGGTATGTCAGTATGAGATCCACATTGTGAGAGTATGAGTCATGTCTGCCATTGACTGGGGATATCACCCAGAAAGGTAGAGGACCATTACAAACCCCAACTGGTAAAACATTGCAACCCAAGACCGAACAGAGCCCAAGAACTCCCCCCCCCCCTCCCAAGAGGAAACAACAAATAAACAAACATCCACTCAACCAGTGCGACCACTCATTATCGACCACCACCATCCCCCCCCCTCCCCAGGTGACCAAGCGCTGACACCGGCAGTTTGTCGACTAATGTCGTATAAAGCAGATGTTATCGCTGGCCTCATTCTCCAGTCAGGATTTTACCCTGTTTGGTTTTAGGTGATTCTGCTCTGTACTTGGGTGTTGGCCAGGTGTTACAGTGTACTCAGGCTGCATGCGTTTAGGATTGCCTTCCCTAAGCGCCTGCTGGGTACTGCCCTTGCTTGTTCAGGGTTTTCTTCCCTAGGACATTCGGAAATTCACTCCCATTGAGGTTGGTTTTGCTTGTCATTAATCTTGCTCTTGGGATTCAGGGGGGGGGGGGGGGGCATGGTCTCCATCTGGCCCTGGGTAGGGAGTGATTTGTTGCTGGTTGAGGTGCACGGTATTTGCGCTGCTTACATAATCGCAGTGGTCGTGTCTCTGGCCTTGGGTGGTTGTGGTGTTTTTTTCAAGATATATAGTTATTCTTTTGTTTTTCTGGAGGAGGTTTGCCTAGCTTCCCATTAGGTTCACCTAGGTTGTATTTGGTGGTCCTCCTCTGGGTCCCTCGAGGTTTCACTCACGGCTTCCTGGGGTTCGTTTGCCCGGTATTAGATGGGGTTCAACTGGCTTCAGCTACACCAGTGCCTGGGCTCCCTGTCGGGATTCATCCTCCTGCGGGTCCTGGTAATCCCCTTGGGGGCTCGGTGAGGCTTGGATGCCTTCCGAGTCCCCTCTTGCTTTGTGCTTGTTTGAATGTTGTCCATTGTCCTTGTCTCAGGGTGACTTTTGTCTGTTCTGCCTCCGTTATGCTGCTTGTTGGGTCAGTGACACCTATGGCCTGGGGTCGTGCGGGTCTTGTTCCCCGCTCGTCTCATTTACCTGTTCTTCGGAAGTCCTTAGGGGTCAGGCAGCAGCTGTGTTGCTGTTAGGTTTTATTGTTGCAGTGTGCCCGGTTGGATGCCCCAGAGCTGCCCCGTTTTGGTTTTAGGGACCCGGAATTGAGGGTGTTGGTCGCTTCGACCTTGGTTTTGCCCACACTTTCGACTCCTTCCTCATTGGGCATGGTTTGCCCTACTCCTTCCCCCCTCCCCCTCCTGTTCCCAGCTCCAGTATGTCTGAGGGTTTCGGAGTCGTGGCGGGGTTTAGCTTGGGACGAGACTTGGGCGGCTTCGGTGAAAAGAGACTTTTGGGCTTCGAACATGTGCCCAAAATAGTCACCGAGAGCTGTCGGGAATTGAGTTGAGTGTCAGATGACTTCCAGTTCTTTTGATCAGTGTGGCCTAGCGGTACAGTACTGAAGATGCCAAAGGGCATGGGACTCTGGCCGTCTGGGTTTGAATCATTCAGGGGTAAAGAGTCTTCTGATGCATGTTGGCTTGGGAACCATTCAAGCTTGGCTCACAGATGATATTCGCATGATGAAGTGATTTGATAAAATATGTGTCCAAAATGGTCAAAATTCTTTTGTACAATCAGTGTGGCCTAGTGGTACAGTTCTAGACACGCCAAGGGGCATGGGGCCCTGGCTATCTGGTTTCAAATCCTTCAGGGGTAGAAAGTTTTCTGATGCATGTTAGCTTGGGGACTATTCAAGCTTGATGTGCATATATATTGTACTTAAATGTACATGACATAACAATGCAGGTGTCACTTTCACACAGGACACTATAAAACTTCTGCAATCTTCTTTCCCGGTGAGTCCACTTTTATCTTCTATCATACACCACTCAAGGTTCTCTCCCTGAGTCTGTCTTCTATGGTCCTCACGCCAGCGAGTTCACCTTTCTCAATAAATCATGGGCCAGTCTACACAGTATCATTATGGTGCCAAAACACCAGTTCTACTCTCCAGTAACACGCTTGCAGGGGGGGTTCCAGCAACACACTGGTGGGGATCTCCAGCAACACACTGGCAAGGGTCTCCAGCAACACACTGGCAAGGGTCTCCAGCAGCACACTGGTGGGGATCTCCAGCAACACACTGGCAAGGGTCTCCAGCAACACACTGGCAGGGGGTCTCCAGCAACACACTAGCAGACTTCCACACAGGCTTCAATTATAACAAGCCTTAATAGACAGACATTGATTCCATCTTATAACTCAACTTGGCCATCCTGGGGTATGTTGGTCCAATCACCAATACTTCACTAAGTATCACAGACAACTCTCAGTCTTCACCAACTAGGCAACTGGAACACGTCTTGAGTTCAGGACTGCCCTGGGTGAATTGATTCCTGTTGACCAAGATACCATCCACATCACTTATGAGGAGTAAAAATGTGATTAGTAAGAAAGTAACTACACAGATGTCAATAAGGTCACAACCCTTCACCGGGGCTACAAGAATTGAGGTCGGGTGCGCTCAAAAGATGGTGTCGACATCATCACAGGATGCATCATTTCCTCTCCTGCCTCAATTCATTGTGTCAGGGCACAGGAAGCCAGAGTGTATTCATATATGTTTGGCTTTTATCGAGGCCCCCCCCCCTCAAACCCACGGCCGAATTTCTGACCCTGCCCAGGATGCAACCCCACAACAAGTTGACTAATACCTGAGTACCTACTCATTGCTAGGTGAACAGAGGCAGTAGGTGAAAGGAAATATGCTCAACCATTTCTGTCCCACCCGGAATTCAAACCCGGAATTTTCGATTGTGCGTTGAGAATGAACCCGATTGTACTACTGGGACCCTAAATTATAATAATTATAATAAATAGTAATGGAGAAGCATTTTCTTATATCCTGCCTGTGAGGGAGATATGATGCCTTGACTCTTTCCAAATATTAACACCACATTGTAATGTTAAATATCTTCAAAGGAGCCATTGAAAATTTGCCACAGAATTATATGGCTTGTTTAACTGCCACATAAGTAAATTACTGTACATTAACTTGTCTCAAGACAGAGGAATGGTGCGAAAGCTTAACCCAGAGACTGTCCAATAGCAGGTAAAAGTAAACATAAGAATAAAGTGAATTGGAAATTGCACTCATGAAAGGATACTGTAGAGGCTGAGACAGTGAATGAGATATCCAAGTAATAATATAAAGTCTTCTTAATGAAAGATCACAAGATAATGTGCATCCCTTTACTTACCCCACAGAAGAACTTTGCTGGTTATCAGAGGGCAGGAGTCACCTGCAGCATGTGATCATTATTATTATTTAATGAAAGTCACCCATCTTGGGTTTTACTATTGTGGTTTTTACTCTTTTTACTGTTTTAATAATGATATCAGTTGTTAGTAAGTGAACTCATTTTGTAAGGTTGGAGATACATAATAGGCAGAACCTTCACAATTGGGACTGGAATAACAGTTACAGTATTTTTATTGTTTGTGTTACTTCCTCCTGGAGTGGTTTATGGGGTTGCTGGATAATTCTCTGTAGCAAGTTGAATTGTGCAGGGAAAATGGTCTGCTTGCTTAACATTATGGTGACTAAATTGGTATTAAAATTTTGCATTTAACTACATTGTTTCATTATTTAAAATCTTAGCATGTTTGGTGGGTTTTCAGTGTATGTGTTAACTACAATAAGTACTGACTTTATTTATCCTTTGTATTTTTATACTTGTGTTTTTTATAATACTGGTACAACATATATCATCATCATGATTATTTTAAACCTAAGAAATAATAATACTGTATTTGTTAGTGAATGTGGAATTGTACTGTTCATAATGATCTCGTCTATATTTACAGATACTACATGAACAGATTCAAGGATGCTTATCGACAAGCAACCATTGACCATTTGTTAGGTAAGAATGTATCTTTATTGTTGAAAACACTTTAATGACATAAGAGAAGTAAATGATGACCAAACGCACGCATCAGAAGATGGAGAAATGACGACATTTTGGTCCGTCTTGGACCCTTATCAAGTGCAGCAGGTTGCTGATGTTACAACCAGGCCAATACTGGTAGCCTGGACCAGAGGGTTCTGCTGGCTGCTACCAGCCTCAAATAGTAGCTTCCTTGCTCACCAGTTTCTCATTTTGTATTGATATTTATTATTATTATTATAATTAATAAAAATAATAATAGCTACAGATTGTCTGGGGGGGGTTCCATTCTTCAGGGTATGCAGTGACGTCACTTAGGATTCACTGTTTTGGGAATGCTGGTTTGTAACTCTGCCTTCTGACCTGTTGTAATATCTACTTTTGGGTTCTGTGGGGAAGTTCTTAGTTTTATAATCACTCATAGAGTTGGTGATGTTTTGCGTGTTTTTGGTGGCTAAAATATACATTGCTGTCATGCTGTAGAACTTGTATATTGTGATTTTTTTTATATTCTGTATTGTCATATTCTTTGTTCCTCAGGGAACCCTGTAACAGAGGACCTGATACATCTTGAAGTGGCAGGTGATGAGGAGGAGTCATCCATGACTCCTGAACATGTCAAACATGTTATAGATGACTGCAAGAAGCTGTTGGTACCAGATGCAGAAACTATTCTTGGAGCTTGGGGTCTCATTGATGCAGATCCCTCGTAAGATATTCACAGTTTGGGGTCAACTTTGGCAAAGAAATATTTTACTATAATTATATTTCTAGGCATTTGTTAAAACATATTACAAGTATTTGTTGACATTTCAGAAAATACAATGATTTTATTATTATTATTATTATTATTATTATTATTATTATTATTATTATTATTATTGTTATAAGAAAATCCACTGGGGCTTTGAGGCGACATGAACCTGCGACCAAGGCATTGCCAGCCACATACTCTACCACCGTACCACCGGCAATTGTAAGGTCTGTGATTTCTACCGAAATCACAGGAAGTCTGGAGACTGGCTCCTGAAGCCAATCCCAGTTTATACACATGACCTACAAGCACTCGGGTAGAAGGGCAAAGTAGTGTAGTTCTACACTGTACGTCCCAACTTCAGATACACACGAAAATCACACTAACGTGATATATATCAACGAGAAGCTCCACTGCCCTTTAGTAGAATGCTTGTGGGTCATACATAAAAACTTGGATTGGCTTCAGGAGGGGCCTCCAGACTTCCTGTGATTTTAATAGAAATCCGGTCATATGACTTTACAAGTGCCGGTGGTACGGGGGGGGGGGGGGGAAGAGTATGCGACTGGTCACAGGTTCACGTTGCCTCACAGCTCAAGTGGATTTCCTCATTGATATATATCATGTTAGTGTGATTTCTGTGTGTACATTATTATTATTATTATTATTATTATTATTATTATTATTATTATTATTATTATTATTATTATTATTATTATTATTACTACTCTGTGCAAAGTAATACACATTCATCTTTGGCTGTGCGAAACCAAATACATGCTACTGGTGCATACTCATGGCAGTAGTTTAAAATAAAGATACATTTGTGCAAAATAAATTATGAACTTAACAAAAATGCCTAATAGTACATCAGACAAATCCAATTATGAAAAATTAATCTGTTCATTACACAGCAAGGATAAATATTTATTGGTTTCTCTGTTGATTTTCGAAAAGCTTTTGATATTGTTGACCACAATGTTGTCCTACACGAACTACGATATTATAGAATCAGTGGTCATTCATTCTTTTATATTTATACTGTTGTACCTCAGAAAAAGACACCAATATGTGACCATATACTTAGTATCCTTCTGCCCAACTAATAAACATAGGTACTTCTTAAGGGGAGATACTGACTTCTATTTCTCTTATACATTATTGACTTGCCAAATGCTTTCTAATTCCTTAAACATGTTGTACTTTCTTGTGACACTTCCTTTGTTTTCTCCAGGACTAATTCTCATTCCCTTAATAATACTATAAACACTGAGTAAACAAAGTCTACTTATGAATGAGCGTCAACAAACTCATTTGAAACACAAAGACGACTTGCAGTATTATATAATATTTGATAAGAAATCAGACTACCACATAACTCTTAAGAATAAACAATATAAAACTTTAGTAAAAGGAAAATTAGTAGGCTTGTATATAGATAACATGAAAAAATGGCTTGTGTACTATTTTAAAGATTGTTTATACTACTTGTGGACCTAAATATAAGGTATGATGTAAAGGTTCTGCTTGTTTCTGAATAGGACATTAACTCTTGAACTGCACAGTGCACAGCTATTTAAAATTGCTCATGATTAAAAATAGTTGAAACTCAAATGGGAAAAAATTGCATATGAAAATTGGAGCAGTGTAAATGTTAACAGGTTATTATGGAAGATAATTTAGCAAGTTGTTTTGTAAGACTACAGGTTTAGGTTAAGTATAATTCTCCCATCTCAGAACTGGTGATCCGGATCAGACTGACATGGATATCATCCTGGTGTTGACCCGTGATTCATATTATGTTGCCCAGTAAGTTGTTGTTGCCTGTCTTTGGAGGATTTGTTTGGGGGGGGGGTGTGTGAATGTTTTATTTCATGGAACTGTTATATTGTCTTTATATAATGGTAATCAAAACTTTGTGCAATATATATATATAAAATGAGTGTTTTTGCTGCCACTTACCAGCATTTACCTGTGTGATGGGATAAATATTTGCAAGTACTTATGTTTGCTTTGTCAGGTATGATGAGGAGACAGACAGGATCCTTCATTATGAGAGAGTGTCCCTTATTGACCTGGAAAAAATAGAGATGGGGCCTTTTACCTGGTAAGAATGTTAATATTTCTTTAGCAAGGTTTACTTAGTATAATGCACATGTTATTAATTTTATTTTAGTAAACACTCCATACATTGCATGAATGAATTTAAAAGAGATACAGATTTCATCATATATATATTTTCTGAAACTAACTATTGAACTAACAGTGAGTAGGAGTTTTACAAGTTTTTAGCAGGTTACAAGTAGGAGTTTTTCTTTTATATTAAAAATTTTTATTCTGAAAAATTCCAGAATATTGAATTATTCCAGAATATTGAAATAATATTCCAGAATTATTCCAGAATTATTTATTCTGAATAATTCCAGAAATTCCAGGTGTATATATTTTTGTTTAAAAGTTAAAGAGGTTGGCGGCTTGTTTGTGAATGATTCTCATAGTACTGTACATTCTACACGGTTTCAGTTGTGTGCTGTACACCATGTACTTTATACCATTAATTGATCATAGTGGGTGCACATGGACTGCTTTGTTTACCCTGCAGGTCCTGGTCCAAGTTGGTGATTGGATTTGTTCATTGTGTGTGCGTGTCTTGCCTCTTCCAATTCATTAGGTGGCAGGGTTTGGCTAGGGCTTGTCTGAGTGGCCACCTTATTCAAGCCTCCTTTACTGTGTTGGTTATTATTGATACTGCCAGTAAGTTGCAAGCTTGTGCACTAGTTTTTGTATTAACAGCCACAGTTCCCTATGTAACTGGGGTCTGTTAATGGATCTATTACTCTTGAGGATGATCTTACTTCATTCGTACCTTCTACACTCCACAGCAGAAAAGGCATTAGACAAGGATTGTCCACTGTTGCTTTGGGTACTCCTGGAGGTGTGGCTGAGTGTTCATGTTAATAAGCACTTGGTGTACCTTCCTGCTCCTTCTTTCAGAGGGACCTAAAATACTTTGATCTGGGCTTTTGGAAAGGCAGGTGGGTTGTCATGTGGAGAGATTTTTGTGCATACTTTCTGCACTGTTACCCTCAGAGGTGTATAGGGGAAACCAAGTCTATGCTTTAACCTATGCCAGTTCCTCTTGCAAATGGGGAAGGTTCTGTGTATCCACCTCTTCGGTCTCTTTATGGAGGGTGCTAGTAATTGGTTATCTAGTTTGGCTAGAAGGGAGGCCCATTTTCAAATGAGGGTGAGGAAGAGGCTTGGCCTCAGGCAGGAGTTGAGGCCAAGTCTGATCCCTCTTTGATGCTTTTGGGTTTGTTTTTCTAGACTGAAGTATATTTGAGTACCCACCACTCAGCATGTTATGGACCAGGCTTCTTTTCTGCTTCGAGTTTGGGTTATTATCGCTTCTGTGGCTGTTGAATAAATTCTTCAAAAGTTTCCTATGTCGTGCCTGCCTGCTCATCAGGACAGGTGGTAGTATTGAAACTAATATTTGAAATAGGGATGCTACCCTCAGTATTCAATATGATACTGGCTGGTAAGCATCTGGGACATTTTAACACAACCCTTTCTGCTGCTCTGTTGTATCAATACATTGTTGTAGCTGATTTGAAAGCTTGAAATTATCTGATAGATGTGCTCAAGGTGTCCGTAGCTGTTTACTGCCAAGCTCCCAGCAGAGCATTCTAGTATATACAGTGTGTGGTTTTCTATATATGTGTGTGTTAGTGGTTTATTTGCATAATTATAAATTTAAAACATATATATGTATTCATTATATATATGTAATGTGCCATTATTTTTTCACAGCTTCTAAGATACTTTGACTATAATTATCCCTTAAATCTTCAGCCAAGGCATGTTTAAGCAGTCACGTCCTCATCAGTGTGTTCGCTTCACTTATCTTGTGGAGGGACAGAGTGGATTTCTACAGATGTTTCGCTCCATGAACATCCGTTTCTTCAACAACATGGCCATTACAATCAAGTCAGAGGAAGAAATGATCGGTCAGTAAATGATTTGAAAGTACATACGATGCACTTGACGTGTATAAATTACCAGTACTGTACTGTATAGTGGATTCCATCTCGAATGAAATGATTGATCTCGGACCCTCTCAGTGCATCTGATTTTCCATTAAATTGAAATTCACTTTTTTGCCAATGTGAATGTGTGTTTATTATGGCAAATGATTACAACAAATGTGTATATTTAGTGCAGTATGTAAGAATATATAGTGGTGTGTGATTGTGAGATCTTATTGATAGTGGTTCATGATTGTAAGATATAGTGGACAGTGGTTCATGATTGTAAGATATGGTAGACATTGGCACATTATTGTAAGATGTGGTTGAAAGTGATGCATGATTATAAGCTCTTGTTGACAGTGGTGCAGGATTAAGATATGGTTGACAGTTGTGCATGATTTTAAGGTATGGTTGGCAGTTGTGTATGATTGTAAGGTATGGTTGGCAGTTGTGCATGATTGTAAGGCATGGTTGACAGTTGGGCATGATTGTAAGATATGGTTAACTATTGGTGCATGAATGACAATGGTATATTATTGTATGATATGGTTGACAGTAGTACATGATTGTAATATATGTTTGACAGTGGTGTACAATTGTCAGATATGATTGACAATAGTGTATGATTATAAGATTGGTTTCCTATTGTCTGGGACAAGAAGCTTGGTTATTGAGGTCATCCTAGGCACACTACTGACCTTTCTAAGGATAAAAACAGTTAAAGGATAAAAACCCACAACAGTTACCCACAACTCCAGGTAAACAGGTTCATCAAGTGAAGGAAAATGTGTCCGTTCTGTGCAGGATTCGAAACTAGGATATTTTGGGTGTCAAACGACTGCACTGAAAACTGCATGGCAATTATGTATAATTGTAAGATATGGTTGTCCGTGGTACTCAGATTGTTTTTCCAGAGACTGATTGACTCTTGAGTGTTCCAGCAGGCCATTAGATCCGAGTTGAAATCCATGGCAGATTTGACTTATTTTATAATTAAGTTTGAACTTTTTTCTGGGGGAGAGCCCCTACAGCTCCCCGGAGCTATCCATGGCTGATATGGATACCCTAACTATTTTGCATCAGTCAATGTGGGTGGAGTTCTAGGCCTACCGGGGACCACAAGCCAGAACCTGGCCCCCTCACAGAGGCACGAGGAGCAATGGCACATAGAAACGCAAATGTGATTTGGAGCATTCTATATCCGCCATCGACCGGGACAGGGACCCAGAAATGTAAGCGCCACAAAACAAACCCTTATTCTGGTTAACAACAAAAATCTTGAAACGAGTGGACAGAACTCCCCAAAAGAAAAACGAGCAAACAAGCATGACGTCACACGAGCCGCGCCACATGTATGCGCAGCTCTCACCTTCCCCGGGAGGGGGGGAAGGGGAGCTCCAGACCCCCGCACCGGTGATCCTCGCCCCAGTTCCTCGGCTGATGGGATCGTGCATGGTCGTGTGGCTCTAGCTCCAGTCTTCTCTCAGTGCTGTTATTTTTTTTCAGTACTACTCTTATGGTGGTCATGTGAGCTGGGAGTAATATTCTCAGGTACTCGGGCTGCTTGTGCTTAGGGTTACCTTCCCTGAGTGCCCTGTAAGTACCGTCCTAGGGGCTTGGGGTTCCCTTCCACAAGTCTCCTTGGGTCTACCTCTGTTGGCCTTTCGCTGCTTGGCGTTTGGCCGCCCCGAGTGTTTGGGGGTTTCCACCCTTGTTTGCCTTGGGGCAAGTGGTAGTTATTGCACTGGTGGTTCACGGGGTACTGCATAGCTAGTTTTCACCTTAACAGCAGCCGGTTCTGTTAAGTGGTAGTTATTGCACTGGTGGTTCACGGGGTACTGCATAGCTAGTTTTCACCTTAACAGCAGCCGGTTCTGTTCTATTCGGGTACGTTGTCCTCATGCGAGGTTTTTCTTTTCTTTTTCTTTTTGCTTGGTGGGGAGGGGGGTCTGCCTTGTGTTCTCCCCTTTATATTAGGGTCGTTTGTGTGGTGGCACCTCCCTGCTTTGCCATCGTCAGTGGACACATCCCGTGAGTTCAGCTTTTAGAAGTTTGCTTGGTAGTTTGGGGCACCGGTTAGCAGTATCCTGCCTGGGATCACCCTTAGCAGACCCAGCCTAGGGGCCCCATAGAAAACCCCACGGGGCCACTCGGGTCCGATGGAGGAGACCCCTGCATCCCCTCTCGCTTTGTGCGAGTTTGAGGGTTGCTCTGTCCCCTTGTCTCAGGGTAACGCTCATTGTTTTTGCCTCCATCATGCTGCCTATTAGATCGGTGACAATTCGACCCTGAGTCCTGCGAGCTTTGTTGCTTGTTTGTGACTCAGTTCACCCAGACTGATGATGATTTTCTTTGGGTGCTGGCAGCACGCACGTTGCAGGATAGGTTTAGGTTATTGCAACACGCCCGGGTTCTCGCTTCCCCGGACACCCCGAGGCTGCCCAGCTTTGCCTATAGAGACTCGGACTTGGAGGCGTTGGTCACTTTGGCCTTGGTTCCATCCGAGCCCCCTCGTGTTTCCCTTTCCGTGGTTCATTCGGTCCCCTGCTTCCAGCCCCTAAGCATCTGAGGGCTTCGGGGTCGGGACAGGGTTTAGAGGTTTCCGAGACTCGGTCAGTTGCCCCGTCCGGGGTTGCTGTGGAGGCATTCGAGTCTGTTCCTCCTGCCGTTGCTCTGGGGTCTGACCAGTGGGCCCCTTCTCTTCCAGCTCTTTCGACTGCCCCGGCCTTTTCTTGTGAGGCCAGGGTTTTGGAAGATGACTCGGCCCCGGAGCCTGGAGTAGAGGTTCCCGGGGTTGGGGAGGACTGATCAACTGATGCAAAATAGTTAGGGTATCCATATCAGCCATGGATAGCTCTGGGGAGCCTCCGGGACTCACCCAGAAAATGGCGTTAAATTACATTCAACACTGTTTTTTTTTTTATCTGGGGGAGCCCTCCTGGTGGCTCTCTAAAGTTATTTTGCTGAGATTGCTCCATGCTTGTGGGTCACATCATATATGGAAGTTCTGTTTGACCTACCAGGGACCAGAGCCAGATCCCCACTGCCTCCTCCTCCCTCACAGAGGCACAAGGAGCAAGTGACAGTTTACCACCCCACTGGGATCGAAAGCATGTAGAAAGTCGGTGAAGCTTTACAAACATTTAAAGGGCTCACAGAAAACAATGACCTTAAACTACAAAACAACTCGATAAACAATTTACACAAAACAAGGAATTCAATCATGTGGCCTTGAAACTCGGTTAATACTGATCACTGCCACCAGGCGGCTCGGCCCTTGCCCTGAGCTTACTCCACTACTTAGTTCTGGTGGTGACTGCTACCTGTAGTGCCCCGGTCCACCAGTTGTAGGCAAGTCTCTCTTCTTCAAGCTAAGTAGTAGCCATCCATGAACTTCATTCAAAATGCAGGGGCCATTTGCTTGTTGTGTTACTCTAAGTATTAGTTTCATGTGCATGTTTTCTCTCTGGCTTACTATGTGGGCTTGGATTTTGTTGTGCTTTAGGCTGCATGCACTCAGGGTATTCTTCCCTGGGTGCTTGCTAGCACTACCCATGCACTGACAGAGTTATCTTCTCTAGTGTGTTCAGGAGTTCGCCCCTGAGGGGCCAGTGCCTCCGGGATAGAGCCATGCCTTGTGCTGTTCAAGAGTTTTTGACTTCTGTTTGGGCTCTTGGCAAGAGGCATTCTGTTGATTGTGTTAGAGGGCACTGGGCTGTGTGTGCTTATTATATGGCACTTTCGAGTACCATTTAGAACCAGTCTTTTGGGCTGCATTTTGTGTCTGTTATTCTTTGAGCAGCTCCAGTGCCTGGGGTTCCTGCTTTGTTAGCAACCATCAGTCCCTGGTAATCACCTCATAAGTCTTTGGTGTGGTCTGTTTTGGATTGGCCCATCAAGTTCACACTCACTGAGAGTTTGGGTTGATGGGTGTTCATCATCTTTGCTACCAGACGATGATCATTCTCTCTGCCTCTGCCATGCTGCTTGCTGGATCGGTGATACCTGTGACCCTGAGTCCTGTGAGGTTTGTTCTCACTGGGTCTCTGCCCTTACTGATATGGCTTTGGGTCTGTAAGCTTTTCAGGCACCTGTTGCTTTGTGAGCTAGGTTTGCTCGAGTTAGGCATTGATGTCATATTGATCATCTGGATGCCCTGGAGTTGGTCCCTATGGTGCTTAGGGACCCGAAATTGGAGTTGTTGGCGATTTGGTTGGTGACTTGGTGCTTGGTTAGTTCAGTTGAGGATGCATCATTTGTTGTGTCCAGTTGCAGCTCTGCAAAGCTACTGACTCTGCCTTGGTGGATGCCTTATTGGTTGACCCTGTTTCCTTGGTCCCCTGTTCCCAGGCTCATATTTCCCAGGTCATCCACAGTGTCATTAAGTCTTGTCAACCTATGGTCTATCCTCAGGCCCATAATGTTCTCTAATTCATTGCTGTGGCCACAGTCTTCTCCAATATGTCTTAGGCAGATATTTGGGCTTAATGGGTTTTGGCATTCTAACAGAGTTCTGGCAGCCTAGTATTTAGTTAATGTTCCCAGACCTAGTCTGTCTTGCGTTGCTTTGGGCCATGTCTCCTGGCCTGGGTTCCCTTCTTCGTAGTGCCTTCCGCTCTTCTCGCTGGTATGTCCCGTTTTTGTTTTTTTTGTGATTAGCTTCAGAAAGCCACTGGGGAGTTTTCCTCAGAAACCCAGCATTGAAAGTAATGAAATGCCTCTTTCTGATAGAGCCATGTTGGCTCTCTGGTTCTCTTCCTTAATTTCAGGTTTGTTGGTTTGTCGGTGAGTTGTCTGTTAGCTCCAGAACTGAGTAAGGAAGTAGGCTGAGGGCAGGGGTGCTGGGCTTCCTGGTGGTGGCAATCAGTACTAACAATTTTTTTGTTCTTCTCAGTGAATCCCTTAGGAAGCAACTGTTTGGATATTGAAAGCTGTTCTAGTGCAATCAATATTTATTGACGTTTTATATGTAAAAAGGACTGCAACTGGTCTAAGTTTCAGCATCGCAACCTAAATAGAAAGGGAGAAAAAACCCAGAGTTGAATGTAATGAATCGCCATTTTCTGGGTGAGACCCTTCGGCTCCCCGGACCTATACCGGGCTGATGTATATATATTAGACCGTTGCAGCAGTCAGTCGAAGGAGTTCTAAGCCTACCAGGGACCAGAGCCAGAACCTGGTCCTCTCGAGAGAGACACGAGGAGCAATGGCCTAAAGACACCCCCGTGTAATTGGAAGCAGTCTTTGTCTGCCATCTACCAGGTCAGGCACCCAGAAAGATAGGAATCTTAAAACAAATTACTGCTGGTCAAAAATTGCAAACCAAAAGCCGAACTAGCAAACAGAACTCCCCAATTAAAAACAAGTAAACAAACGTGACATCACCACAACCGCCGCGCATCCGTCTGCGCAACTCCCCCTTCCCCGGTAGGGGGGACGGGGGGTCCCAGACCTCCACGCCGGCAACTCTCCTCAGTTCAAGAGGCTGTTGTGTTGGTGATGGTCGATCGCTCTGGCTCCACTCTTTGCGCAGTGCTGCAATGCGGTGTTGTTGCTCTGTTTTGGTGTTGTGTGAGCTGGAAGAAACACAAGAGTACTGGGGCTGCATGCACCTAGGGCTACCTTCCCTAGGTGCCCTGTAAGTACTGCCCTTGTGGCCTCAGGGTTATCTTCCAAGAGCTGTTCAGGAGCAGCTACCTCCGTGTGGTTCTGTCGCTGCTCGGTGATTGCCTGCCCTTGGGGATTCAGTTGGGGAGGTTCTTACTCCTGTTTGCCCTTGGGTAGGAGGTAGTTTCGTTGCTGGCTTGGGCACGAGGTACTGTGTAGCTGTCTGATATATGCATAGTGACCGGTTCTGTTCACCTGGAGATGATGTGTTTTTGTGGGGTTTTTCTTTTGTTTTTTTGTTTTGTTTTGCCTGGGGGGGGGGTCTCCCTGGTGTGGCGGTAGGACCACTTGTGGGTTTTTAGTGGCCCTCCACTAGGTTCCCGGGCATCCACATGTCGCAGGGGTTCAGCTTTTAGTTGTTTGCTTGGTAGCTCTGGGATAACCGGTTAGCAGTACCTCACCTGGGCTTCCCTTGGCAGTCAGCCTAAGGGCCCTGGAAACCCTCTCTGGGACTCAGTGGTTCGATGTAGGAGACCACTGAGTGCCACCTTGCCTTGTGCGAGTTTGAAGGTTGCTCTGTCCCCTTGTCTCAGGGTGATACAGTACTCACCGTCTGCCTCAGCCTTGCTGCCTGTTAGGGTCAGTGACACCTATGACCCGGAGTCCTGCGAGTGGTGTTCTTTGCTTGTACTCCATTCACCCAGTCCACAGAGACCAATATTCGGGTGCAGGCAGCTTTAGCGCTGCATGGGAGGTTTAGGTTGTAGCAATGTGCGAGTTTGGTTGCCTTTCTGGATGCCCCGCAGATGCCCCGCTGAATTATACTGGTAGAGAGACTCTGGCGGCTTCGGGGATTACCCCTTCCGGATCGGAGGCGGAGGCATTCGAGCCTGGTACTCCTGCCGGAGCTTTTGGGCCATGCCAGCGGGCCCTCTTCATCCCTGCTTTTCTGGTGGACTTTGCTTTTTCTCTTGAGGCAGAGGGTTTGGAGGGCGGCTCAGCCCCGGGTCCTGACGTGGAAGATTTCGGGGCTGGGGAGGAGTGATCTTGGGGGGGGGGGGGGCCTGGGCCCCACTTGTCCCTGCTTGGGTGTTTGGTACCCTCGGTGCGGGGCTTGTTGTTACAGGGGGAGAGGTTTTCCTATCCCCTCCCTGTACGAATTTGTTACGAATTTGACTTCTCCCCGTGTTCGGTTCCAAGTTCCCTTGGGTTCTTCGGTTCCCTCCTTCTGGAGGTTTTTGGCTTCCTACATCCCACCGAGGAAGGTGTGGGAGGCCCCTTGCGGCTTAGCTCCTGCAAGATCCAGATTACGCCTTGATATTAGAGCCTCCTTCTTTTAAGTTTTGCTCCTCTTTTTCTTTAATGGGTGCGTTGCAAGGTGCCGGAGTCTTCCTGGCTGGCAGACTGCCTTTTCTTTCGTTGGGGGCTTGGCATTCGTCCTGTTGGACTGCGCACTTGGATGGCGAGAGTTGACTATGGACGTTCAGGTTTCCTGGGGGGTGAGTTGGAGCACCTCAATGCGTGCTTGTTCGCTCCCATCCTTCCTTATGATGTTGGCCAGGTGCGGCTTCACGTGCAGGTTCCTTCCTTTTCGGCATCCCTGGTGGCCGAGGATTTGGGCGCCTGTGGGCACTTGGCTTCGGTCTTGCGCTTCTTTTCCCTGCGGGTGCTGTCTTTGGACTGGCTCGTGTGGTGTGGAGGAGCTAGGTTCCGGGCCAGTGTCCGGTATGCTTGCTTCAGCAGCTCGAGCGCCGGCTGCCTTGTTGAAGTTGTACACGCCGTTTCTGAGGAAGGCAGTGTCTGTTCTTCGTTTCTCGTCTCGCGTGCTGATAGGCTGTGCTCGTCCTAAATTTTGCAATTGTTTTGGGCCCTGGTTCTTCGTTTTTTATCCCCGTTTGTCCGTTGCTGTTTGCAGAGTCTGTGGTGGTGCATTTCTGCAGAGTCTGCGGTGGTGCATTTCTGCAGGCAGCTTCGTCTAGTTGATGGCCTATATCGGACTTGTAGGTTCTCCAGGGGGGGAAGCCGTGGAGGTCCTGCCTAGAAGGGTTGCTCCAGGTCTTAGGGTTCCTTCGGTCGTCGTAAGCCAGTAGTGCCAGATTCGGGACTGGCCTTCCTGTGGAGTCGTTGGCTCAGTGATCGCTCTGAGTTTCAGTCGGGCTCTCGTAGGGGTCATATGCCTTTTCACGGTTCGCCCTGTTGGCGGGGCAATGGGGGAGAGGAGGCTCACGCTGTTTGTTCTCGCCTGGTTCCACGATTTCTGGGCAATTCGGGTCCTTTTCCTCCGGCCTGTGGTGGCAGTGATTCTTTCCTTCTCCTTTGGGGGGGATTGGAGCTTGCTGGGCGGGCCTCTTCCCCTACGCTTTGTCAGGTCATCCTGGAGTAGGGAGTAGAAGATCTCCCAGAACCCCATCAATCAGGTATCAAGCAGTTGAATATATCCAACCAAAATCAACAATTGTATTTTTCTTTTTCACTCTGTGATAACTATTTCAGAATTAAAACAGTTCCTCACTTCAGCCATAATTCTATGAGTGGGAAGTTTCAATCTAGTTGGTAATACAAGTCCATAGTGTTGTGTTTTCAAATTATTAATATTACAAATGTTATCCAGAATCTATCAAGGCAATTGGTGAGACATTTGAAGTTGCGTGTCAGATGATTGGCTGTGAGGTCCAGCTGGTCACAGGCAAGATGGAAAAGAAGAGAAGTCGAGGACGTAGCCAGCTTGCGAATTTCCTGAACCCTTTGGCCTCACTCACCAAAACTTCCCCAGATACACTGAAAACTGCAGGTAAGTTTTATGATTATGAAATTTGTTGAACTTTGACAACTCAACACTTTGGCAATGTAGCATATTTATAATCACTAAGAGTTAAGAAAACTTGTTTAACTTGTTAAATTCAGTAGTACAGAATTAATGAAACTTAAAATCTAAATAGGGATTAAACTTTTATTGTAGGTAGCCTATTAATCCTAACTTTTTGTTAATCAGTTACAACATTATTTTCATAAACATATACAGTAAATACAGGTATACCATTTTTTATGTTATTTGATTGATGATGATGAGCATCATTATTACTCTGTTTCCCATTTCTATGGGGTAGACACATCAACCCTCAAGAAAACAGACAGCAGTATAGAAAAAGAAGATAAGGGTGCTTATTAATTCACCCATTCATTCACCCATTTACACTCTACGTGCTGCACCGTCATACTGAGTCAACACCATTACTTTTCAGCAACACCCTACCACTTCACATAACCTAGTATAATGCACTTATCATGAGTTGATATTGAAAAATATGTTAAGCAATTAAATGTAAATTTGTTCACTCTCTCTTCAGAAACTAATTCTGTCTAGCTTCCTTTCTTAGCATATCTCATGCAGTTTTCAAACTTAAGCCTTGCTTCCTCAGCATATCTATCCATCATGTTGACCTCCCTCTCCCTTACTAAAATTTATTTTAATATATGCTTCAATGCTCTCTCGCTCTATTTGTTCAATGTGACCAAACCATCTCAATAAATTTCCTGCAATCTTTAGATTTAACTAACTTTTGACTCCAGATGTCAACATTGCATTGTCATTCTTTACAATATTTACTCTGTCCTCTTAGTACAACAAATGCAACACCAATTGTCTACTTTGAATGCTTAAACTCTTGATATTTTGTGGTGAAGCCACACCAGCGTCTCTGACCCATACATGACGGTAAGCACCACAGCTCCTTCATGCAGCACTACAGCTGTAACTTTCCCTGTCTTATTCTTCCTGACCAGGGCTTTCATTGCACCGGCGACTTTCCTTCACCGACTTATTCTACTCTCAACCTCTGCAGAACAAATTCCTGTTTTTGTCAACCATAGACCACAGGTATTTAAACTGATCAATCACTTCTAGAGCTTCTCCGTTGGTGCCTTTTTCACACATTGTTACCTCTTTCTCTCTCTGTCTCTCTCCACCACTGTTCCTTTATTTGTCCATATTCACGTTTAGCAATCTTCTCTTACATAAACAAAACATTGAACTGCTCAACACTTACATTTTAATTTTCTGACAAAAGAATTGCATAACTTCTATACATCAAATATGAAATATTCCTTTATTTCAGTCATATACTAATTCAACCCCCTTTTTCTAGTATTCTTACCATGATCTTCCTCATGCCCTCATCCATATATAAACAGTGAATTATAGATACAGTGCACATCCATAGCAGAATCTGGTATCAATATTCAGCCATTCATTATGATAATATTCCATTAACTGTTACAAGCGGTTTCCCTCATAAAATCTTTTCCAGTTCTAAAGCAAGATCCCCATTGCATAAAAGTAACACCAGCAAGTCTCAACCATGGCTTAAGGAGACAATGGAATTTTGGGTACCTGTGAAAGACTTGAGCACCAGTGCCCTCAACATACAAGAAAAACCAAACCCAAAGCAAACCCAACCCAATACTGCATCATACACAAACTGGGAAGGTTTTAAGTATTACCTTCTACCTGAATTAAAGTTCCAGCTTGATACCAAGTCCAAAATGGATTAAAGACAAACCCCTGTAGCCTCATCAGGACTTATCTGCGGCTGGAAACCCCCCAACCCAGTAAGAAAATGGAACCAGCCATAGAAATAAAACTGAAGCCATATCACAACCAAAATCTTAAACACGAGCCAGACAACCCACCAAAGTAAATGTTAACTCTTCAATAAATGGAAAAATTCTGCTTCCAGGAATAGAATGGGAGATGGAAGGCTACTTTTTTAACTGGAGCCTCTGGGAAAAATCTCAGGGGGAAACAAAATCCAAAATGTCACCCACAAAACCAAGCTTCCTTCTGTGCCTACATGACCTCAAGCTGAGGGTGTTTGGGGACTGGGACCAGTGGAGGCGTCTGTAAAACCAAATGTCACAAAGGCCTACTGAGTCGGGTACAAAACGTGTGAAAAAGTACGAGCCCTTGTAAGCCACAAAGGAAAACTTGTTAGTATTAAGGACTTGTGTTCTTCCTAAAAAAGCGGCAGTGACTGAAAGCACTTACCAGATAACAGAGAACTGCAAGCACTGATAATAAAATGCAAGAGCCCTCAACTGCATAGTGGCATCATTAGTAGTGAGGCAAGAAGAGGGCTCCAGCAGGATCAAAGCCTCAACCAGCATGCATAACCCTGCACCCGTCAGGAGTGCTGGACGTAGTAGATAGCATCAGTTCAAAAAAACACCACCTACCCCATAATACTACAAAGTACAAAATTCAACTCCCAAATCCAAGGAGGAAATCCAGTCACAAAAGGCAAATGCTCAATGTATGCTAAACAAACCTAATATCACCAGAGATAACAAATAGCTAGGGCAGCCAGTGCTCAAACAAAACGTAAAAGAAACAAATTACAAAAAAGGAAACCCTTAAGTAAAGCCAAAAGGGCCAAGTTTGAATATATAGTAGAACCAAGGTGCTGGTGCCCCAGGTGATGACCTGGTGTTGATGCCCCAGGTGATGACCTGGTGCTGATGCCCCAGGTGATGACCTGGTGCTGATGCCCCAGGTGATGACCTGGTGCTGATGCCCCAGGTGATCTGGTGCTGATGCCCCAGGTGATGACCTGGTGCTGATGCCCCAGGTGATGACCTGGTGCTGATGCCCCAGGTGATGACCTGGTGCTGATGCCCCAGGTGATGACCTGGTGCTGGTGCCCCAGGTGATGACCTGGTGCTGATGCCCCAGGTGATGACCTGGTACTGATGCCCCAGGTGATGACCTGGTGCTGATGCCCCAGGTGATGACCTGGTGCTGGTGCCCCAGGTGATGACCTGGTGCTGATGCCCCAGGTGATGACCTGGTGCTGGTGCCCCAGGTGATGACCTGGTGCTGATGCCCCAGGTGATGACCTGGTGCTGATGCCCCAGGTGATGACCTGGTGCTGATGCCCCAGGTGATGACCTGGTGCTGGTGCCCCAGGTGATGACCTGGTGCTGGTGCCCCAGGTGATGACCTGGTGCTGGTCACTGTGGCTTGGATTTACCAACAGTAGTTTGCTGAGCAATAATTCACATCGGTCTTAGTACTCAATTTTCACTTGCATGGGGTATTTTAAGAGTCATGATTTGTTTTTTGTACTATAGCAAGCTAGTATGCTCAGTAATAGGACAAGTTGGAATTGCCCTTCCTTAAATATGTGATATGACCATTTGTAAAGCTCCTTGTCACCATGGAGAAAAACCCGAGTTCAAGCGCAGTTAAAGTATTAGGTATACTCGCAGACTCGAGTGTAAAATCGAGTCCAAGCGCGGTTAAAAGGTCTATACCTCAGGGTACAGTCCTTGCACCACTGCTTTTCCATATTCTCATATCAGATATAGACTCAAATACAAGGCACTGCTTCATATAGTCCTTTGCAGATGACACAAAAATCAGCACGAAAATTACCTCTGCTGAAGACATTGAAAAACTACAAGCAGATATTAATAAAGTTTTCAACTGAGCAGCAAAAAATAACATGATGTTTAACAGTGATAAATTCCAGCTACTCAGATACAGTAAAAATGAGAACATTAAACATAATACAGGGTACAAAACACAATCAAATTTGCCCATAGTAGGAAAGTAACATTTAAATGATTTTGGAATAATGGTGTCTGACTACCCAACGTTTAGGGAGCATAACAAGCAAATATTGCGTCAGCCAGAAAAATGATAGGATGAATTGCGAGAACTTTCAAATACAGGGATCCCATCACAGTGGTTGTACTCTTCAAATCACTTGTGTTGTCCTGTCTTGAGTACTGCTCAGTACTCACTTCTCCCCTCAGAGCAGGAGAGATTCCAGAAATAGAGGGAGTACAGAGAACATGTACGGTATACACAGACGCGATATAGCACCTAAATTATTGGGATCGTCTCAAAGCCCTCCAAATGTACTCGATAGAAAGAAGACAAGAGAGAGATATCAAATAATATACACATGGAAAATACTGGAGGGCCAGGTCCCAAATCTACACAGTAAAATAACAACATACTGGAGTGAACAATATGGAAGAAAATGCAGAATAGAACCAGTGAAGAGCAGGGGTGCTATAGGCACAATCAGAGAACACTGTATAAACATCAGAGGTCCACGGTTGTTTAACATCCTCTAGTAACCATAAGAAATATTGCCGGAACAACCGTGGACATCTTCAAGAGAAAACTAGATAGTTTCCTCCAAGGAGTGCCAGACCAACCAGGCTGTGATGGGTATGTGGGCCTGCGGGCCAGCGGGCCGCTCCAAGCAACAGCTTGGTGGACCAAACTCTCACAAGTCGAGTCTGGCCTCGGGCTAGGCTTGTGGAGTAGAAGAACTCCCAGAACCCCATCAGTCAGGTATCAACCAGGTACCTGTACTGACAGCCATACTGGCATGGATCAGACACAGGCCTAGACAGAGGGTGTGTATAGTGTTGCCACATGGTCACAATAGATGAGGATGAATAGATAGTCAAAGCAGAAGATAAATTGCTTGTGTGGTGTCGTCTGTAATGCCAACCGAGAGCTCAGAAGGGCTTTGATTTTTCATGGATTGACATCCGACTCTCATATCCAGGTTAATTTAATTATTTATCCTCAATACATATATGAACTTGCAGTGATACTTGAACATTCTCTGTGGTGCCATGCTCTGTCATTCCTGCCTGCTTCCTGATCATGAACCAAGGACACACTGAAATCTTACCTGAGAGAGCAGCTAAATGATATTTCTTGAACAGGAGCTTTTAATGCTAATTGGGCATTTATTATTTTTGTCCCTGGTTAATTGGGTCCTCGCCCATGAAAAATGGGAAATAGTGTAATGATGATGACTATAATCGTAGTTTGTATTTTTAGGAATATCATGTCTTTTCATAATCTAGTTACATTGGCAATCATTTGCTACATACAGTTCCTTGATACTGCATATATGATACAATACAGTACAGTAATTTTTATCACAGGTACACGGGCCTTTAGTAATGTTACATCAGGACTTGCCAAACTAAACCCAATGTCAGGTTTACGTTTAAAGCGTCCCACTTCAGTTGCACGCCACCAGCCTATGTCTCAATTTTATCTTCAGGTAAGCAGCATCATTTCATTTATAAAATAGTAGAGTATACTTTATATTTATCTGCTCTGTATATGTCAGCAAAGTTGATATGAAAGAATTTTTAAAACTTAAAACTAATAAAACAAAAAGACAGATTCTAGCTAAGAAAAGAAATGTGCAATTAAAAAAGTGCAAAAATTCTCTTTTAATGAGTACAGTTGTAAATGTGAAATAACTTAAATGAGAGGTGAATAAATAGCAAAACTACTGGAAGCTTCTAATTGTCATGCGACAAAGGTTGCATGAAAGACTTGACACCACGAGCATAGCTCTCATCCTGTAACTATATGTAGGTAATTCCACGTATAGCAAATACACATAAATACACACACACACACACGCACGCACGCATATGCATACAGTGTGGTATTGTACATATACACTTACATATACAATATATGTATGTGTATATGTTAATTGAAAAATATGTTGGATTGAGTGTATGATAGGTACAAAGAGAGCCATGTTTAAAATTGTGTAAGGACAATGTTCAGGAAACATTGAATGAGTGTGTGGAAATGCTTCATGATGGTAGGAAGGTTAGTGTGGACAGTGATATCACTGTTAGAGGGAGAGGGAGGGGGGGGGGGAGTGTGTTGGAAAGTGGGATGTGCTAGGTTTAAATTGTAGTGGGGAATATCTTGATGGATAAGTGTTTGTAGAATGGTGTGTGTGTTTCTATGAAATGTACTTGTATAGCATGGGTTGATTCACAGGTATACATGGAGGCAAAGGGAAGAGGGCTGCGCTAGCTTTCTTGTGCTGGTCTTCGTGTGTCTTTCTGCCCATCTGTGTGTGTGATCTTTTCCACAAAATTATGATAAGAGCAAAATAATTAAAAACATAATTATTAAAAAGAAATTAGTGAGACAAGTTTATTCCAACATATTACAGGCAGAAATATAATTTAAATCAAGATTTAGTAGTTCTACTGATGTTTAATGTTTCTGTCCTATTGTGTAGTATAGAAATAAGTATGGTATACTGTATATGTGTATATTCAGTGATATATACAGTACAGTGTATGCATTTTTTGGATTATCTGATTTTTTTCAACTTGAATTTAGCATATTTTTGAGTATTGATAGGCATACAGTCAAAGAATTTTTCTGGTAAACTGATACTATTTTGTATTCTCACAAACATCTAAGGAGTCATTGATGTTTTTGCTTTGCAGAAACCTACTGTTTGTGTGCAGAATGGAAGTGATATTATCATTCCAATGGGTGGCAATGAGACTCATTTAGCCTCATGTGGGGTAGTGGCTTCTTGTCTCCTTCCAGCATTATCTCCTCCACGTTATCCCTCACCACCAATAGCCCGCTGCCAGAGTGATTCAGCCATTCTTCAGTCTTCAGGGGCAATGCGAAATATCATCCATGGTATGACTGCCAATCGTTCACCCACACCAGAGATATTTGTAAGTGAAACTGGAGATGCTACACACAGACATGCAGTCACCCCTACATTTGGGGGATTGTCTCCAACACTTCTGATGCAAAGAGTGAGGAAGATATCACATTCATCAGATGAAGTGGATGCACGTGATGACCGAGATGGAGGGGTATTGAGAGCGTCTTCTGCAACAGACCTCCAATTGCACCTCACTTCCAGTCACTCAGAAGGACACATTCTCGGTTCATCTATACAGTCTGGTGGAGTAAACTCAGGCGGGGATCTCTCTAGCAACTTAGTGTCCCCTTTGTCAGCTCTTAATAAAGAGGCTGTGTTAGCTCCCTTCTCAGTCTTAGCACGAGGAGTACAGAGTTTGGCACCTGGTGCAGGTCGTCTAGCACGTGGCATGCAGAGCATTGGGGTAAATTTAGACCCTCGTCGATTGCGTGCTCAACGTCAAAAACAGCTGGAAGAAGATCCAATAATGAAAGAACGAAAATTACAGTGCAAGACAAAGATTATTCAAATCTAAGATGTATGAATTACCGTACTATATATTTAACCCAAGTCCATCCCCCTGTTTTGGTAGTACTTAAATTAACGGTGAGGACCATAGTATATACTGTATACCGACGTACAACGAAATTAGAACGTAGAAATCTGATCTATTGAGTTGGACAAACCGAGAAAACTATTTTTTACTTATGTTGCTTTGACAAACTAAACTAACCTATCCTAACCTCCCTAGGCCTAATACACAATTTCTGAGGCCTGATATAGTACATATGTGTGCTATATTATGCCAAGGAATATTTAAGTTTGTGTTTTAGCTTCATTTATTTTAAAAGAATTCTTTGCTAGTCAGTATACTATCATCTAAAAGCTAAGAACGTTCAAATTGTGACTATTGACGATCGTCACAATAGGTACTATCTAAACAGGAGGATGATTTGTTTAATCCACACCTCTTTGTAGGAGAGAAATTCTAATATGAATGAAGGATCTGTTCTCTGATTTAAACGAATCAAAAACTGAACAAAAAAAAAAACTTGAAAGGTTCAGAACCATCCTAACTAGTCCTTGGTAAAACTTAAGTTACGTCCAAAGTCTCATTTGCAATAATGTAGGAAAGCATAAGTGCAATTGCAACTAGCTGGTATGTTTGAGTTTCCATAACATGATGTAATTAATATAAGCTCAATTTCAATAATTAGGAATTCATAATATAAAATAAGAATTGAGCCGTAATGAGTAGACAGTTGAATGTGCAGGGACTTGCAGTGTGCTCTTAGTGTTGCATCACTGGCAATCTTAAGTTCATTATTTATAAATCATTATATCTTGCCAAGATATATGCAGATACTTTTAATATTTTAATTTATTATACAGGGTGATCTTTTAAGTTTTGATGGCAATACAATACACATCAAATGTAATGCTGAGTAGTAGTTTTAATGCGAGTTCATCCGATGATTCAAATGTCTGCAATGTATGGTTCTTTGGTTCTAAATGTTATGCTCAAGAAATGATTCAACAGGACTTTAAACATTCCACATAAAGTTGACCTCTTTTGTGTGATCTCATGTTATTTGTATATTCTCACAATTTGTATTACTATTTATGTTTGTACATTGATAGTTGTAAACCACATAATTTTAGGTAGGTCTTCCATGAGCTTTATTCAGTAGACTTGTTTGTTGGTTTGTACGAGTTCTGATCTGTTGAGGATTGTAAACATCACACGCTCCAGGTAGTACAGATGCAATTGTAGTTCTTTGTAACATAGCATGATTATATTTTCTTGTATATATATATATGTATATACATTGGTTTTGGCAGAATTTTAGAGAATCTTAGAAAGAATAAATGGAATATTTTAGCATTATAAGTGTGGCTTTTGTGGTAAGAAACACAGACTTTTTGAAACACATTTATCACAGTTTCATTGCAAGTTTCCTCGACTACATCACTCTGTTTACATTATATTCGACATCTTTAGCAAGATGTCAGTAGAAAGTAATCATTCAGTTTTTATTGATTAAAGTTTATTTGTGGGCAGCTTTTAAGTGAAATTTAAAAAGAAAAATTTGTTAAAATTTAATTTGAAATCATTTAGTGATTGACATTGTGCAGTATATGTTACTTTTAGTGTGAGTGATCCCTCTAAGGGTTCAGGTATCATTCTGCTCTACAGGCTCACATTAATCTTCAGCAATATAATTGTTTGTTATCAGCTCATTATTGATTGATATAACATTTCTGGGAATTATTGGTATTTAAAGTACATTAGTTGCTTTCATGTGTGCATTAAGACAGCTTTTAAATAATGTAGAAAATGCATTCATAGATTACTTACTTATATATCTAGTAATGCATATCATTAGTGTATGTATGCAGAGTTGTAAATGACTTGGTTTTGCAGTTATTACAGAAGTTGAGGAAAATATTGGACATAAAATGCCTTACATCACACTAGATTTGACACTTGAAGTTTGGCAGCTTTTACAGTTTTACTGTTTATGTGGGTAAAGGTTCACGTGCTCATCACCATCATTATGTTTTTTTTTTTCTTCTTCTTCTTCTTCTTCCAAACATACCATGGCTGAAATTAATTTGAAATATGAAGTTTGTTTTAAATTTGAATATTAACATTTCAGTGTTTTGATGATGCTAAAATACATCATCCATAGTGAAATCCTTGAAAATAAAATAAAAGATATTTTTTACTTTTATTTTTTGGAGCACAGTGTGGGTAAAGCATATCAGGGAACCATCAAGAAATTACCTTGACTAACTACCTTTTACTCAAGACTGCAATTGCTCTGCTTGTGAGTGTCTTCACAATTCTTTGCAAATTACTTGCCAGGAATGTATGGAAATTGTTTTTCTTTCTGCAGCAATATAGACCAATCATATATACACATTCCCATATTTTTATTTCTATTATGTTGAAAAATAAATGAGAAATTTGTAAAAATATAAGAGAAATTGTAAAATTTTCATAACATTAGTTTATTTAACTTCGTAACCCAAATTATTAAATTACATTCAGTTCTTCATCTGTATTCTAGTAAAATCAACATTTTGACACCAAATGTACAGTTATGACCCAAAAACTAATGTAAAGAAAAAGAGTATTACCTGTATATGAACATTTTAGGCACTGTTGAGTGGGGCCTGGAAATGCCCAGGATGTTTACAGCTGAGTACTCATCGACGGGTCAGAACATTAAAGTGTTAACATTAATAATGAGGAAATATTATGTATTGTGGTACGTATTGCCTTCAGTTCTTTAATATTGTAGGTCTCAATTTAATGAAATATTTTTAATGATGGTTAGTCAAACTTAAATGTGTTAAGTATGATTAAATTAACATTGATTATTTCACTCAATAATTACATTTGTTTAATCTTAACTTAAGAAAATATACAACAATTTATGAAGGTTTGGTTAATAAACTGCTGTTTCTTCTGTAAAAGTCAAGAATGTAAAGAATTTATATGGAAATTTGTAGTTGATAGTACTGTATTTGGTTACATCTGCCTAAAGTACTTTATACTACTAAGTATTATTTATAATTGGCTACAAATTATAATTGTAGATGAGAAACTTTCCTGGAAGATCCTCTTAGTTGCTCCCTGAAGCTATCTCTTTGAGCTGGGTCCCCCCCCCCCATTCCCCTTCCTACTAAGTCATATCAAGCACAGTATTCCTGTATGGCCTACATGGGACCACACACACAACCTGGCCCACTCACAGAGGCACAAGGAGCAAGAGATTGTTACGATCACCCTCACCAAGAAAATACAGATGAAGTAAGCGAAGCAATACAGACAACTGAAAGATTCAAAGAAAACAATGCACTGAAACAGTCTCTCGAAACTAGCACGAACCTTCCCTAAATATGAATGGCTGCCAACAGGTAGCAGTACCATGGGTCTCCAGGGTTCTGTGCCATCTTTGCCTCAGTCCTGTAGCTGATATCTGGGAATTCAGACTTTCCCAACTCGCCGGCCATAGCAAGTCCCACGTTTTTCAAGATAGGCGTAGGCTATCCTTTGAGCTCTGTCTTGTGGGGATCATTTGCTTGTGTGTTGTTTCTAAATCTTTAGTATTTTCTTTATGTGCATGTATTTACAAGTTTCACTTGTGCTCTACCTCAGTAACAGGCCAGGTTACTGTGTAGAGCACCTCACCCTGGGTAGTGCACAAGTCTATGTGCACTACCTACGAGGCCCCTGTGGTTGGGGGCAATCATGGTACTTTGCTATAGGGTGCACTAGGATTCACATGCTTGTTCATATGGCACATGGCATACTCCTTCATAGACAAATTTTATCCCGTAGGCTGCATTTGGTGTCAGATCTTTCTTCAGGAGTCCATAGTGCCTGGGTGTCTTAACTTGGTTACATTCCTTCAGGCTCTGGAAACTTCCCTGCAGGTTTACAGCACAGCTTGTAATGGATAGACCTGCCAAGCCTGCACTCACTACTTAGGAGTTTGAGGGTTGTTCATCAGCTTTACTCAAACCAGTGATCAGTTTTACTGTCTGCTGCCTGTTATGTGGGTATTTTCCTCTATTCTGCAGCCTGTGACGTTGAGTTTGCTGGACGGCTAATTTTGGTTTAAGTTTGTCCTTTGATTTTCGTTTATTTGCATATATAGTGATGAGCCTCCACAGGTGGCTGCCATTTTGGGTTCATTTGCCCATTCATGTGTGTGGTTTGGTGCTCATGTAGTTGCCCTAGAGTCAGCCCATTTCACTTTTGGGGTTTTGGGTTTGGAGAAATTTGTGTTTCTGCTGGTGCATTTTTCACTCTTCCTCCTGTTATCCATCTGACTTTGTACAGTCTCGTTGTGCATTCCCTTCACTTCAGGTTCCAGGGTACTTGAGGGTTTTGGGGTCAGACCACATTTAGTTGGGGTGATGCTTGGCCTCTGGGGAGTCACCTCTTTCCTTTTGACACTGGAGACAGTTGAACCTTCTCGCAAGGATCCAGGCTGTCTTCTTATTTTGGAGAGGGTGTCTTTGGCCTGGGTCCTTCACTGTTGGTGATGCCTTCCTGTCTGTTCAGGCATGGAGCTTGGCTCTACACTGGGTTCTTCATTACAGGGTGGTAGGAAAGTGGAATCTATTGAACGAAGAGGTTGTTAAAGCAATTCCATCCACAACTTTAAAAATAAATGCGTATTATTACAATTTTAATATTGAGAGGGGGTAATTAATGTGCCAGGTATAAATGGCTAAGAGGCTGGACATACAGAGCTAAATCTCACTTCCTGTAGTCAAATTGATAATCACAGGTTTCCAAGACCTTTTTTTTTGAGGGGGGGGGGAGTGGGGGGCAGGGAACCTGGGGTACATTTCAATCCTTCTTGGTTTTTGTGTCCATCGGCAGGGGTCTTTTGTTCAGGGTGGGTGTTTTCCTTTCTGTCCATTTTTTGAGCTGGATTCCTCAGCTGTTTCCCTCTCCACACTGAGATGTGCTTTGGTGTCCCATTGAGGGTCCACAGATGCATTTTCTTTCCAAAAGGTTTAATTAGCCTGCCTTGTACCTTCTTTGGCTCAGGTGAACGTGTGTCGCTTTCTTCTGGGGTACTTTGGTGCGGTTTTCTGGCCGGTCTTGTGTGCTAACGGGTTATGCTGGGCCGGGCTTTCGTTCGGCTTGGTCTTTCACCCCTGTCCTTCCATTCTCTTC